TGGGCATGAGATTAAAGACTTACTTTTTCATGGGTTGCTCTGTTGCTGCTTTTTTGTTTTGTTTTGGTGAGTTTTTTGGTAATTTTTTTATTTGTTTGGTTTGGGATTTTTTTTGGTTTTTTTTTTTTTTTTTTTTGGTTTTGTTTCTTTTTTTCAAATGAGAAGTTCACCTGAAAATAAAGATGTCCCTGAGATTCTGCCCCAGGTTGTTGGTGCTTGGAAAGGATGACCTGTCCATCTGTCTGCCCATGAAAACCAGGCTCTGCTTTTCCCTTTTTTGTGTCAGTTGTGCCTGGGGAGAAATCTCAGCCCTCCTTGTCCATGGATGGAGATGCTTGCATAGGTCAAGGGAAAGACTTCAGATCTCAGGGACAGACCTATGGATGAGGATACATCTACTGTCATGGAGAGCATCCCAGACCCTGGGGTATTTGAACAGATGCTTGATAAGCCTTTCTCCTTTTGCCTTTAGTGATACATACAAGGCAGTTTTTTCCATGGTGGTTGCAGAATGATGTATTGTGAGTCGTGTTGCACATTTTGGTGACAAGGAAAGTGGATGTGTTGGATGGCATGGTGCATAACTGGAGAGAACACGGTAAGATGAACATGTTAACACGTGGGATACATAATCCTGTGAAGCAGAGATCCCCAAATAATCTTTTAAGTGTGTCCTACAAGCCAGTGCAAATGAGCATATCCCTCCCACAGAGCAGGGTGTTTGGCTGAGCCCTTGTGTGCTAACGTGGTTAGCAGCCTGCAGGAGGGGGATCTGCATGGCACAGATAAGGGAGCATGTGTGGGCGAGCACAAAGGCACATTTGGGAAGCTGTTACTTCCAAGAAGTTTCTAGTGGTTTTGTTACCCACTTCTCCACGTGACCTGCCAGAGTTGCAACACCTTGGGCAGTGGCAATAGGTGCCTCTCTGTGCCTGCGTTTGACCTTGTCCTTTGTGGCCTTGTGCCCTGTGTATTGGAGGTCACAAACATGTCCTGTAACACCAGGCTCAGCTGCCCTGAGGAAGCAGGGAGGSGAAGCAGGAGCAGACAGGCACAAGCCGTGTGTCCTCTCCCTGCCTTTGTTCTGTGGTGCTTTTGGTCTCTGATTGAGAGCGAGCATTGCTGTGAGGCTCTGAGAAGCTGTTAGACTACAGATGTCTCCCCAGCATTGCCATTTCTCCTTCCTGACCACCTTTGCTGATTCAGGGCTCCTAAGCCGTTTCCCCTTGCCTCATTCTCTCCCRTACCAGGGATGCTGCCTATGCTTCYRAAGATAAAGGYTCCTGGCAGCCTCCTCCTCCCTGGGAGCCCAGTGGTGCTGTGGCTGCTGGAGCCCGTCAGGGTTCTGGGGGGCCTCATTAGCTCTTGTTGCTTTGGTTATGTTCACTTGTGATTAGTTACAGTGAAACTGTTGTCAGAAGTCACAGGCTTACTCAAGCAGAAATTAGCCATAAACATAAAAAATAAATTATACTAATGCCTAGGGGAAAATCCCTGCAAACATAATGTTCAGTCAGCAAGGCATGTTCTCAGCCTAAGAAGCAGCAGTGTTATGCCCRTGGGGGAAATCAGCATTTCTCCCGTTTTGTTAACAAAAGTGTTAAAAGGTCTAAGGGATTAGTCTGCTAAAATGAGGGCAGAGGTGGCTTCTCCCACAGGTGGCTCAGTGAGGGCGATGGTCAGGGCTGCAGGCTCCACTATGTCTGACAACTGTCCCAGTGACTGTCTCTGCAGCCTCTAATGTTTGTAAAGCACATTTTGGATTCACCCATAGGGTGACATGCTGACAGACCTCTCCCAGAAGCTGGGCTAGAGGCAGATTTGACTTGTTTTGTCTTGAAGCCTTGTRTCTCACTGGCTCGGGGGCCCAGGAYTTGCTGCTGCCAGGGAGCATGGCCCTGGTGTGGGCTGAGGTTGGCAGCCTGCTGCTCTGGGCTGGCTCTTCAGCAGGCATGTCAGAGCTGGCTGAAAGGGAGGAAAGGGTGGGGACATGCAGATGGTGGGAAAAGCAAGCATGTGTTCTCAGAAAATAAATGGTTAAAGGAGAGACAAGAGGGTACTGCCAGCTGGCAGGCAGCAAGCAGGRTGGGGAGGAGGACACCTTTGAGGAGGTGTAGGACAGATCTGAAGTTGAGGTTAGCCATCCCTCAGGGCAAAGGCTGGTGAAGGAGGCTGTCTTGGTGTCCAGATGCCCTGGGCCTGGCAGGTTGAGGGAATCTAATCCTTTCAAACAGAGCTTTCCTCTTCTGCTCGTGGGAGGGGATAGAAACTCATTCAGCTGGCCCTGCGCTGCCAGCTGCAAAGGGAGTGGGTACCTCTGTGTGGTCGGACAGCAGTGCTTTCCCATTTGTTCTGTGCACCCTTGAGTGCAACRATGGGGTTTCCTTGTGTCTTGGTTTTCCTGCTTGCAATATCAGATGCTGCYATCCCTTCCATTGTAAAGTATCTCAGGATGCATCCTGGGACGGCTGTGGATATCTGAGTGCTGCTGGTGTGTGAGCTGCTCACAACAAGGGGTCCCAGGCTTAAGAGAGGTTCATGCTGCCTGGGGAGGGCAGTGTTTTGAACATTTCCAGGATTAATTGCAAACAGTGTTTCCCTTTTGAGGATGAGTKCTTAAGAGCACCCTCACCCACACTAATGGAGGGGGAGCCTGTGTCATGGGGTGACCTGCAGTCAGATTGTCACCTCCTTTAGCATGTCCTACCTAMACAGCTTCTCAGCCCAGAATACCTSCTTGGCTGTCAGACTCTGACAGCGAAGGTGGCAGTTAGTGGTCAGGGAGTGCATCATCCCTTTCCTTGCCCTGTCCTAGGATGRACTGAATATAGTCTGTACCCCACTAACTGAGCTGCTCAGGTGATTTTTGGTTTTCAGTCTGGGTCATCAGGCTACTGAAATTCCTCACATGGAAGCTGCTGTGGTGAGATAAATGTGCCCATGMCTGTAGCAGGATTAAAAACCCGGTGAATTGTTACCTGGTGGGAAACTCTAAAGCCTGAGTGTAAATTTTGGTGCCTTCTGGGCTGGAAAACAGAAATAGCAGCCTTTTTTTTTTACCTCCTGGAAAATGATTTTCACACATTGCTGKATAAAGTTTTCATTTAGGTTGACTTTCTTGTTTTACCTTAATGTCACAGGTCATTTCCCATCTACAGCTTTGCAAAAACCCCACGATGTTCCTGTAAGACACTTCAGTATGGATAAATCAAGTTTTTAGGTCAGCTCTGCTTACCTAGGCTTATCTCAATCCCCTTTTCATATCTGGATAACCTCTATTGCACCTTTTCCTCAGTTGTGCTGGGTCATGCCAGGCCTCTCAGATGGGGCAGGCAGTGGCACTGTCCCCTGTGAGCAGGGACAGAGACAATGCAGAGCCAGCACATGCTCTTCATCTTGCAGTCTTTCAGGACTGTGGAGACRGCCCCTAAAAGGCAAAAGACAGAGCCTGTCCCCTCTGATGCTGTTGCCAGATCTGGAAAGGGAACAATCAGCCTGTATTTCTTTGTGTATGGGATGAACCCACTCAACAAGCCTAGAGCTTTGAAAATGGCATGCTTAGAAAGTTTAATCCTAAAAACAGGGTACTGCACACTGTCCCGGGCTGCCTGTAAAGAGGTAAAGAGGTCTCACCTTCTTTAGCTGTCACCCCAGCCCTCATGGCCCCTTGGCCCCCTTTGTCGCCCTTGCTCACCCCMAGCCTCTCTGCCCCTCTTTGTACTGCCCAGAAGCACGGGCTCAGACTGGCTGCCCCCARTGTCAGCTGATGTAGTAAATAACATCCCCACAGTAAAGGGAGTTGTTTTCCCCTACTGCCTCCAGCACTGGCCTCAGTGGTTTATCCTGAGGATCCCACCTGCCCAGGGCTGATTCCCCTAYGCATCTCTCCAGCATCATTTGTCCTCAGGGCAATCCACCATGCTCTAGTGGGGTTTGATTCAATGGTTTCTAGCACCCGTGGAGGATTTTCTACAGACAACATTACAAACGACCTCTATAGAGTGCAGGCCAGTAAACGTGCTTCTTCCCCACACTGTGGCATTGAGGACTTTTGTCAGGTCCTGTGTTTCCCACTGAGAGGCTGAGAAATACTCCTCTGGTGAGTCCAGACATAGCTGAGCATTTATTGGATATGTCCCACTTTCCCTTTTAACGTGCTGCTCTGGTTTGACCACATGGGTGCATGAAAAGGTTGATAGGAATTTGGCAGGCACATTAACAAAGCAAAAGAAAAAACAGTGATAGCATTGAATGCAACCATTATAAGAAAAAGAAAATTTGAGCTGAAGTATCTTGAGAAAAATGGTGTAACTGGAATGCATGCTACTGGTGTTGGTCATGAGATGCTCTGGAAAAGTGCTTCAAGGCTGAGATGGATACAAAGAAAACTGCCAGGGCAAAGGCACAGAGGAATTGTTCACTTCTAGTGAGCACCTAAGCACTGTAAAGACTCCTGCAGTGCCTCTCCTTGCAGACAGAGCTCTGTCCCAGGAGCTGTGTTTGTACTCTTCAGCATATGGCACAGGCACGGGAGGGGGCTGTGTGACCGCAGAGTCCATGTTCCCCCTTCACCCACCCTCTGCCTTTTGCTCCACCTGCTTGATGATGTTGGTGAGTCTTGAGCTTGGCCACAGAAGAAGGTTTAATATAGTGCTCCCTGGAGATTTGTTCTGCAGGATGACATTGAGAAATTCCACTATCTCACTAAAGCAGTGGAGCCCTAGAACAGTGAGAACATGTGGCAGCAAGCCTGGGCCATGCTGTGGGCTCTGCAAGGGGAGAGTCCCTGCGTTGCTGAGGTCAGGAGGACATGGAGTTACTCCCTGACTGCTGTRGTTGATATTTACAAATTCTGGGCCTTTACCCTGCCTGCCTGTGGCTGCTTTCTCATCTCGCTTTCTTGTCAGGGCCACAGTTCAAGGTCTGGAAAGGTGCATGTTGTAAGGGAATAGGGGAGAAAGCTCTTCTGCTGTGATGCACCTCCCTTCCCTACGTCCCACCACCCACACATGAGCTGGGTGATAATTTGGTGCGGGGTGCTGGTGGAAGGGGTGGGACAGGAGGAGGAGAGAAGGTAATCTCTGCCTTAACTCTTGCTGTATCTCTTTGGCACTCAGTGGATTCCCTGCCTGGACTCCAGTGGGACAGGACAGGACAGGATAGGACGGGAGGGGTTTGCCTGGGGGAGACCTGCGCTGGGTTCAGGTGAGTTGGGATTTGCTTGTTGAGCAGATCTGGTTGGATGTGTGTGTCACCTGGGAGTGCCGGTGACTCCGGTCCCCCTGCAGCCAGCCGCTGCATGCCAGCTGCTTGCTGTGCTCTGGAGAGCAGGCCAGCAAATCTGCAAGAGGAAAAGCTTCTCAACGTTAAGCAAAGGGAAAACAAGATGGAAAAATAAGGAGCAAATAATCAGTTTGGATCTACTCAGGAAAGAGGTTTTTCTTTCAGTGGTTCCTTTGGAAAAGGAAGGGACAGGCTTAGATTCTGCTCGGAGGCTGTCAGGAAGCTGAARGATGGGTAATTGGTACTGAAGGTTGTGGCAGCAGAGAGAAAGAGAGAGAGTGATAGAGAGAGAAGTACTCAGACAGCAGAAAGATTGAGAAGAGAGATGAGAGTGAGCGGGACAGGGATGAAGGGCAGAGGTGAGTGGTTGATAATTGGTACAGGAGGTGCTAGCAGTGGAGTAGGCTGTAGGCATTTCATCTACTGCCAGCATGAGTTCTCTCCCCCTGTGCTGCCCTGCACAGACTTAGTTTTAAAAGATGTGTCTGGAAGTGCTCCTCTTGTTCTTGCCCATGAGACTTCATCAAATTTGCTCCTCTAGGGGTGAGGCAGGGAGACAGCGTGGTTTCTGCATGTGCTAAACTCTTGGGATCTGTGGGCACATTTGTGAACAAATGCAGGCAGAACATGAGGGTTTCATAACACCTGATTTGTGTCTTCTTAAATCAACAGTGCTTTTAAAGTAATCACTACTAATCAGGGCTTTCATCTCATGCCACTGGAAATGCCATTGCCCTAGTTTTTCCTCTTTGACAGCTGCTGATATGAGAGGCTGAACCTTGGACCTGACCTTTGCAGCTCTGCAACAGCCCAACTTTAATGGACTCATGGTTGCAGATGTGGTCCTTGCAGAGGGCAGGCTAAAGAGTGCCTTGTCTCTACATGACCATGCTCCTGGGCAGGGTATAGGAAAGTTTTGGTGCCCCAGGCTAGACAGCAGGTACCAGGCCCCWTGGAGGGTGCAGGTGGGATGCAGATGGAATGTGGCATTATATCAGGAATTCCTGAAAAACATGGCATTGCTGGAGTCAGGATCAGCATGTGCCTCAACACATGTACTGATTTCACCTGATGTGACTGAWCAGCAGCTGGAGATGGCTGAGCCTGCCCAGGGTCTGACACAGCRTGCTGGACTCCTTGTGCGGGGCTGAACAGGGAGTGCAGAGTGCAGACAAGCATGGCAGGGAGCCCCTGCAGCCCTGCTCTGCTGCTCTGTGCTGGCCACACACGTGTCTGTGCTGAGGGACCGTGCCCTGCCTCTCCTGCTCTTGGCTCCCCTCCTCCTCCATGCTGGGAAGCATAGGGCAATGCGTCATGCCTCAACCTTGCCTGCCTTGTGGAAGTCTTGCTTGAGAGCTCTTCCCCTGTGCTGTTTCTCATCACTGACAGCAAGTGACCCCAGGCTGTGCTTTTGGGAGGTCAGGCAGGGTGTGCCTACATGGAGGAGTTTCGATACAAGTGCCTAAAACAAAGTGATGCCAAATTCCCTGAGTTGCTCTCCCACCTCTGAACCACTGTAGTAGTAGTGCTGGCTCCTTTGCTTTCCTGCTTCAATAGTTTTGCTTCCCACTTTTCCTCCAGGTCTCAGCCTCCAGCCTCAGGTTACTCTGGGATGGCAGCAGGCAGCCAGGCTGGGAGCTAGCAGCCTCCATCTCTTCATCTCACCTGCCCAGGGCAGCTGGCTGGTGTCTTGCTGAGTGAAATTGCTGCCCCAGAGAGCTGGCAGCCCTGTAGGCACCTTGTCCAATCCTGCAGCCTCTGTCCTGTCCCTGTGGAGCACCTCTGGGATGCACCACAGGTCACTGCCCCACTGTGCAGGGGCCTGTTTGCAGAGTGGGTGCTGGAGCAGCGTGGCTTTCACCCTCTGTGCCATTCACYTGCCCTGCTCTTCCAGCCAGTGACAGGAGCTCTGCTGGCTGCGTGCTTCAGCTGCACACAGGGACCTCTGAGCAAACCTGATGCCTCTCCAGGACTTCGGCCAGACACCTCCAGTCACCGGGTAGGTGGCTCTAGGGACTCCATTGGGGCCTGGCTGGATCATCACTGGTGCTCTGTAAGAAGGATGGATCCCACTGTGGCTGGGCCTCCTGCTGTGCTGCACTGGATACTACCTGAATTCAGGCTGAGTGGCGATCTTTAGAGTATCTGGTTTGATGCAAAAGCTGGTTTCTAGTCATATTTAGACACCATTTATAGACTTCATCAGTCAGTCTTGGTTTTTTTTTTCTAGTCTAGAGAAAGAAACTASCTCTTTGTAGCCCAGAGCAGGGGTGGTGAGCTATGGACACCAAAAGAGCCTGATCTGGTCATGGGAACAACAGCCTACATTGCTTTTAGCAAGAGATTTGTCACTGGTCTCAGGAAAGCCCAGCCACTGTTAGGGGCACTGGAGGCTCTCCTGYTCAGCAGCGGAAGAGAGGGCAGGAGGCAGAAGACAAGGCAGGAGGCATTTGACACCACCCTGCACTGGGGCTGTGTGCTCTGAAGGGTGAAGCTCTATAATCCTTCCATCTTTTATCTCAGATGTTCGTGTCATTAGTAAACTCACAGCTGCTTCTTATCTTGCTCTTTTTGGTGTCAGTAAGTAGCAAACTCTTTGACTGCAAAAACATTACTTTTATTTCACATTGGAGAAAACAGGTAGGATCTGATTCTTGTACAGCCTCCTGTGCCTCATGAACCTTGCTGAACACATGCTTTGAGAATTGTCTCCAGCCCACAGAACCTRGAAGTTAATTAGAAAGTGTAAAGAAGCCAACTAACTTTCAATTGYTTGAAATGAAAGCCATTTTACTTTCTTCTGTTGTCTTGGAGTTGGTAATTTTTTTTGCTTTCTACATCTTTCCTTGTCTTTCTCTGTTATGCAACTGGAGTGAGCCATTCTGCAGCAGCATTCCTGTTTGGAAGCAACCGTCCCTGTTCATGTAGATTGGCTGGRAAGCACTTGCTTCTACTGCTAGTATTTTCCTGTCCGTCTTGCAAAGATGACCTATGCCAGTAGCAGCCCCCACACACTAATTTAACCGGGTTGGTGTCTTAAGCTGTACCTTGGCACTGCTGTTCCTCKCTGAGCCCTGGTTTTCTGCCTCTGCTCCCACAGCCGCCCCCGCCTCCTGCCATCAAAATGCAGTGCAGGATTTCAGCTGYCGACTAACTGCTAGCTCTGATTGTGAAACCAGAGAATTTTCTGTGTCCTCCTGCTCCTCCTTCTGTAACAAAGCCCAGTCTTCTTGCTTCCTGATTCCTCCYTCCCCATCTTAAATTGCAGTTTATGTGCTTGGTTGCTGCTTGTTTCAAAATGATACCAAGAAATATAAATGCAGTGCAGCTGTCAGCATTGTCACCTGTGATTCTGCATTCTGCAGTTCAGGCAGCACCTATGAGTGTCCAAAGGAGCTCTAACACTCTGCTTCCTCTCATAAGTGTTATCAGGTGCTTTTTAGAGGCATTTCTGACTGCTGTCCTCTCTGTTTCACTGTTCCCTCTGGAGATTTCCTCCTCTCATTTGCATTGTGATAAAATAGCAGAAGAGGTCAAATGGAGGATGTTAACTTCCCAGAAGTAGGAGCTCCTGTCTGAGAGCAATCAGAAACAGGCAGTAAGTTTGCAAACTTTGGTGCAGGAACAGCAGAAAAATGCAGGCAAGCAGTGAGGGACACAGTCTTGACTCCAAACCCATGTTTTAAGGAAAGGGGCATCCAAAGGGAGAGGAAAATGTTTGCCTGTCAGGGAGGATGTAACACAGTAGGTGGCTGTGACTGCTGTGGGAGAACCAAATTGTTCCTAGCTGGAAACAACAAGTTATTTGAGTCCCCATCTGGCCTGAGAACATATAGAACAGGGGCRCAGTAGGATTAAATCAGGAAAAGAGCCAGGAGGTGTATGAATAGGCTTTCTCATAGAAACAGCAGGCAAAGCAGAGAGGGAAGAAGTGGGGATGTGTAATGTTGCATGGCTTTGTCTGGGAAAGGAGAAGTTGTAGTTCATGCCATGAAGGGCCAAAACTTTAGGTGCACCAGTTTAATCCACCATCTGYTCCCAGCTGAAAAGATTTGATTTCATAGCCAGGGTGCTTTTCCCCTTTTTAAAATAGGAAAATGAAGGTAGAAGTGTTGTGTCTCCCCTGCTGTTCTGCGTTTGTCCCAGCCACGTTCCTCATTGCAGCATCCCAGCTCCTATCCTTCACRTTAGCCTATTCTGGAGTCAGAGGACAGATGCAGAGTAAACGTCCTGATCCAGAGGTGGAGGCTGGTAACAGGGTTGAGGCTGTGGGGTGGCACTCATACATTCCCTTCTGAGAGGAGGTATTTCTCYAATTGTGATCTTCCTCTGCACTCACATGTGAAACAGGTCTAACAAAAATGAAATGAAACACAAATATTAGTGGAAATAGGCTGGCTCTTGTATCCACCTCACATTAAAAGAACAAAAACTAAGAATTAGCTACTCTTCTCCTGACAGGTTCCTGTGAAATCCTCAGTAAACCCAGACTTAAGCATCATTGTACTTGATAATGTGCCCTGGACTGAAGCAAATTGGAATGTGCCAAGGACTGTGACAGATCAAACACGTTTCATTAAGTACGTKTTACTTTTTCTCTCACATTTGACAGTGCGTGGAGCTCTGCTCCTCTCAGGGATGAGGAGGCTGTGCTGCAGCATCGGAATAAACTGATTAGCCAGTTGGCAGGCCTTGCTGCAGGCAGGCAGTGGGGARAAGGGCCTTGCCTGGGCTGCAGAAGCTGAGAAATGGCTGGCAGGAGGACCTGATGATTCCACCTCCTGATCTAACCCAGCAGGAGGGCTGAGTGAAGGGGGCAAAGCTGGGACTGGAAGCACCTCTGTGCTGGTGATTTGCTGGTGAGCTGCAGAGCTGAGCATTTAGGGTGTGTCCCTTGATTCCTGGGTTCTGCCACCTTCTTCAAATGTGGGGTTAGAGGTTTGTAGAAGCCTCTTAGAGGGCTGTTTCACCTCTACACTCAGGTGTAGATCCACAGATGTTGTAGCCCTTGGTGGTTTGGGTCAATGCAAGCCATACCAGGTGCTTTCTAGCATACAGGCCATAAAGGGCAAGGGCTGGAGACAAAATGGATATTGCTTCCTCTGTGACCTCATGCATTTGCATTTGACACTGAAACTGGTTGTGGCCACTGCAGTATTGCCCATGTGTAATCTCTTACTGGAAAGAGTTCTAAAAACCTCTCGAATTTAACTAGGATTTTTCTGCCATGTTTTTAAAGAGGAAGGTATATTAGCCTGGGGGATGGTCTTCACTGGCCCCTGACTGCTCTCTTCTATGGCTTATGCTCCTCTGCTCTTGCTGCAAGCCCCTCTTACACTGGCTGATGTCTTGAATGAGACTCAGTCCTCCATTTGGAGTCCATGGAAATCTGCTGCTRATAGCAAAGCAAATGGAATGAGCCCTTCAGGAAAGCAGATGGGGGAACAAAACCTGTTGTTGCCTRGGGCATTTAGAGAGCAATTGGTGTATTACACTGTGAGATCTGATTTCCTTTCTTCACTTGAATAACAGGGAAGAAACATGCCTGTGTCAAAGAATTACTTGTTTTGCTGTGAACATTCATTAGAAGTCATCTTTTCATACACAAGCATTTTTCTTTGCCCCAGGGCCTGATATATCCAGAGGGTTAGTATTTAGGAAATAATTTCATTTACAGAAGTAAATGAGACACTTTGGTAATGATGCTGCCTTGTGTGGATAAGTGCAAGCATGGCCTACCAGCTCCTGCTTCTGCTTCCTCCTTGCCTCCTTGAAAACTACACCAAAAAAAGTGCCAGAGTGTTCCTTGGCTGCTGGGGCAGTTAGACGTTAGGATCTACACATATTTCCAATTGGGTTCCCTAGTAGTCCCTATTCATCATGAGGTGGCTCATACCCTGATGTGGATATGAGGGACGTGACTGTAGAGAGACCAGGCATAACAAGGATGGGGGGAATAGTTTGCCATCCTGGTCCTGGTGCACTGTCCTGGTGCGAAGGGTTGATAGAAGATTTGGTGGTCCTGTAAGACAAGAATGACAGGGTGATGAGGTTCTGCTCACAACTGAGCTGCTGACTGGAAGAGGTCCTTGGCCTGAGCTGTCTCCAGAGGCAACCTTGGTCTTTTCCTGAAAGAGAGCAAATTTAAATAGTACAGAGCAGATCCAGGGGCAGTGGAAATGTTAAGTGTTGTGGGTGATGCAGACTGCTGTCTCTGTTGCTCCCTGAAGATGGGGATGTTCCTTTAGGTGGCACAGAAGGAATGAGAGATGTGCTATTAAAAAAACTTATCGAACCACCAGCAAAACAAATTTGCAAGTTGCTGCAAAGGAACAAAGCCCTGATTTCTTTGCAGTCTCAGCTGGTGGGAATGGAAGCAGAGATGCTGCTGCTTTGGAGACTTGTGTCCAGTGTAGCTGCCTAATCTCAACAAAGGAATGTATATCCCTGGATAAAAAAAATCACTCCTAGAAAGGTCAACTTCTGCTCAGTAATGCCACCAGTTAGATGTACCTTGATTTAGGACTTCCTTGGCATAGTTTACCAGCTCCCRTCATCTGTTTTAGGTCTGTGCTTTCTATGTGGACTTACATATGCTTCYCTATCTCAAGTAACTCATTAGAATGCAATTTTGAGGAAAATTTTTTTAGCTGAGTCTAAGGGAGCTTTCTCTCTTCACCATTCAGTTTCGTCTCATAATCACGTCTCTAATAATACAGAAATGTCAAAGAGAAGATTCAGTTTAGTCTGCATTAATTTTGAGTGGATTTAAATTTGCTAGCCAATAAAAAGACTTTGTGAAAGATAGAAAATTGTGTCTTGTAGCAAGCAGCTACTAACTTTGCTTAATTAAGAAAATGCTGAATGTGATTCAGGATTTGGTACAGACTGGAAAATATCTTTATGTGCCTCCCTAGAGGCCGAGCCATGTTCAGTGTGCCTCTTCTGACAGTGACTTCGCTCTGTGTTTCCRTGGCTGGGCTTCTCCCCCTAACATTTTCACTGCAGTACTTGACSTTGTCTAATCTCAGTAGTCCCTTGTCCAGACCTGAAACACCTCCCAGGTATGAGCTCCTTTTGCTCATCCTGGGGCCTTTGTTTCCTTGCCTTGTATTCTTTGCAAGGCGGAGGATTGGTGCTGGTGCCTCTTTGTTAGTGAGGAGAGCCTAGGCCATAAAAGTGTGTGTGTGTTTTGCTGAGGTGGCAGGATGTGTGTTAGTGAAACATGGTGTCCTGGGGGTCAAAGGAAACGTTCCTAGCAATATCTCAAAATAGGGTAGGTTGTCTATTCTTGTTTAGACTGTTTATCCTGTTAATATTTCTATCCTGACATCTGAAACCACTCCAGATGAATGTATTGTATGAAGTACACAGGAGGAAAAACTCTGTCTGCCTCCATTCCCTGCTTCAGCTCCACCTCCTTTTCTCTTCCTCTGAACTGCTATTTCCAAAGTCCCAGGCAACTTTCCAGCAATGATGGAGTTGCAGAGCATTTAGCTGGGGGCAAATGGAGGAGCATTAAGCTGGTGGTTTGGGAAGGATGAGGAAGGGGCCTGTGGGGAGGGAAGGATGAATTCAGAGGTGAGTCCAGTGAAGAAGTAGTGTACGTGGGTTCATCTCTCCTGACCAGCAACCTTTCCTCTGTCCCTTCAGCACAGACATAACTTGGGGAAGATACTTCGTGCTGTCACTAAATAAGCCATTTTCCACGTGGTAAGGGAACCTCATGATGATACAACAAATCTATTGTGGTGTCTGTCCCCTCACTCCTCTTCCCAAAAGTGTGTCCTGCAGCAGCTCTCCACATCCCATGCTCTCCTTCTCTTCTATCCCACAGAGCCATGACAAGARTCATATCCAAGGAAGGAGAACCCAATGGGGTCACCACATGTCCTGAGGAGATAAAAGTGGAGGAAATGGAAGAAAGAGGCCAGTGGCGGAACAAAATGGAGTTTGTGCTGTCTGTGGCTGGGGAGATCATTGGCCTGGGTAACGTGTGGAGGTTCCCATACCTCTGCTACAAGAACGGTGGTGGTGAGTTCACAGCACATGTGAATTGTTCTAGATCTGTAGGTATGACAAGGGACATGTGCATGCCTGAACCCATTTCTCCTATGCCKCGTGTGCCCTAAGGCACTCCCTTATTTTCTCCTTCAACAAGTTAGTTCCTGCCAAAACCAGGAGGAATAAGAACTCAGGGGTGAATCCAGCTCCTCAGTGGGTACTCTTTCTTAAAACAGCAATCTCAAATTTGGACTCTTAAAAAATGGAACTCTAGTAAGAATCTAAGGCTCTTGGGCATCTCAAGAAATTATTGGTCTTTGGAAAATATCGTGAGTGGTCAGAAAATCAGCATCAACCTCTTCATACATATTTCACTTTTCCTACTCCTGGTGTCAATTTTATCTCTTTCAGGCCCTTTTTACAGAAGAGGAAAGGCTTAGATGATGCTGGTATCCTTGCYAAGGCCTAATATCCTCTAGAGGAAGATTTCAGCCTCTTCCCCAGGAGCTATTCTCACAGTGATCAAACCACTTTTAGGGAAATCCATCCCCATGAAAGGCTCATTTACCTTCCCTTTTTTTTTCTTTGCATGGCTCTCCTTTTCTCTTACTGTAACATTGCAATAAGATCATTACATGGTTAAAAGTTAAAATTTCTGGTAACAATAAAATGAAATGTAAGGGAATAATTGACTGTCACCAACTTTTCTTGGTGAATCAAAATCTAACTTTGTAAAAGAAAAGGAGGAATAACAAATTACATGTCAAATACAGCAGTAACTTCTCTTTTGTTCTTGTTCTCTAGAGACACCTTGAAATTATGCTCTGGGACTTGCTTTCCCCCACTCCCCAAGCTTCCTTTCTCTGCAGACCATGCCCCAAAGGCCTTTCTTTTCCAAGGTGACATGAGCCTTCACCAACAGATGAGTGGTTCTCCTGTAATTTTTCCCAGRGCTTCCAAATTCCTGTCCTCTGTGGTGTTGCTGCAGTTTATCCAAGTTAAACAAGAGACAATCAARTATCTCCTCAAAACCAAAGAGGAATTGGATAAAACATGGTTCAAGGAAATGGAATTGAGTTTTTCTTGAACCTGGGATGTTTTTTAGCAAATTCTTTAGTCTCCTTTGCAGTATTTTAATGGCAGGCACTGGAGGCACCAAAAGCAAGTCAGAGGGGCCCGGGTTAGGAAACACCGGAGGTGCATTTGATTGAACAGCCCATTCTGCAGTGATGTTTTGAGAGAGCAGTCATGGGTTTTGCATGGAAAATTTCTCCCTGAGCTCAGATGATATCTTTGTGTAGTTTATGCCTGTGGTACCCGGTTCAGCAGTCCTTGCAATTTGTATGCTAATTAGCGCAAGTGAAAAGGCTACTTTTGTTCACTTTAAATATCTATCGAATAACATTTTTCTTTTTAATTAAACTACTCYGGAATATCTAAGGCTCTGATTCAGAGGGCAACGAGGCTAGGCTTRGGAAAGATTAGGGTGGGAGAGTCCTTCCCTCAGAGCTCACACATTGCCTTTACAGAAAGTGTCCTTCTGCTGTGGAAGGTCCTTTTCTCCCTCCAGGGTTCAAGGGAACCTGAAAGCTGACAAACTCACACAGAACAAGTCAATGCCTTTCCCATGACACTCAAAGATATTCTCACTATCAGAAAAATTCTTAAAATTGCAAAAAAGGCATTTTTCACCTATAAATGCTGCATCCCTGTCCCACCCTCACCCCCTAAACTTGAGATTGCTGTTCCATCCTTTCCTTTCTCCACCATTGGACATACTGAGATGGTTATACAGCTGTAAAGACAGATGCCATAGAAACAGTAGTGCTAATTTTCTGTAAAACARCCAACTGTGACCTTATCTATTGCTTCACTGTCAAATTTGATCTAATTGCCCAGCATCCCAAACTTGTTATTGACTCATAAGGAAAGAAAGTCTGCTTCTGGGGGCCCCACTCAAGGCTGAGTCTCTTCCAGTGGAACAGCAAATTGAGGGGGGCGTYACAACTGGAACTTCAGCTGGTAACTGCTATGGGACAGTTAAGAGAAACAGAGGTGTTAGAAAACCATCTTTGCTCAGAGATCAAAATGGGTCAACCTCTGGGACTAATTATATCAGAGGAGAGGGTCTGGAATCTGCTGAAAGGCTCATCTGTGTGCAGCATAATAAAGCTGTCTTGCAGATTTGGCAGAGATGTCTTGCAGCACTGAAAGAAACAGCTGCCTCTAGTTCAGGGTCTGCAGTTCCCATTCCCTGCTCTGCAAGCCTGGACTGACGCTGAGAATCAGCCTCCTTTCCTCTGGCCCCAGGTCTCCTGCAGCTACCCACAGCTGTGTTTAGGGGAAATTGGATGTTCTTTGTTATTGTAACATTGTTGGCTTAAAAACAAGGGCAAGTGTTTCTGGTTGTTAATTGTCACAGGAACGAATTTCAGTGTGGATGCCTGTGCTGGCAGGGGAGGAGGGGGCCTGGGGGAACAGTGGCTGAGAAAGGCACCCTCATCTTGTTTGCAAGCAGCTGAGATGCTCTCCAGGCACTGTTAATAGAATTGTTCATGACCAAAAGTTTATTGTRTGGAGTGGCAAGACCTCCATAGTTGTTTCCATAGTGAGGAAGGCAGTCACCTTATCTTGTCTGGAGGGGAGAAGTAGTGTGAAAATCTATACCAAGGATGAGGAGAAAAAGAGTGAGGTGACAGAAGGAAGGTCAGCTGTGAAAATGACATATCAGGAGCAGTYCTGAGCAGAGCAGTGAATGTATTTGGTGTTTTGGTTTGGCAGCATAACTRAAAAGGCAAAAAAGTTTCAGACTGCTGAACAAAGTATTAAACCATTTATTCAGGGCATTAAACTTTCTGGTTGTTGTTATTTTTGTTTGTCTTTTCTTATGTTTTGTTTATCTTGGTCATCGTTTCTGGAAAAAAAAGCCTTGCTCTTTCTCTGCTTCCTCTTGCATTTTGACAAGGGTTTATCTGAGGACTATTTCAGGCTGATTTCTCTTCAGACATTTCTCTACATTTTAGCAAAAAATGGGTTTTGAAGATAGAAGCTAAACTTCTTCATTTTGAAAATGCTGGAAAGATACTCTTCCCCTATTTCCATTTTTTTGGTGCAAACTGCTTTCCAAATTTGACATGAAATATATGTCAAGTAAATTTATATCCTGGCAACTTTATTACTTACTAAGAGATGTCGCCAGCCCCCAGGTTTGTATCCTCTGGGCAAGTGGGAGTTTTGCTGTGACTCTCATGAAAGGCAGAACAAATGTGGTTATGTGAAACAAGGACTTATTTTGTTCACCCCATTCCTGCCGAAAGCTGGAATGAGGTCAGGAGCATGAAGCAGAGAGAACTTCAGCAGTATGTTTTTTTAGCCCCTTGCCTAGCTACTCCTTAGCTCTAGGTTTTGGCTCCCACCAAATGTAGAATTACTGCAAAAGCACAAGACAAACCACCCTTGTATTTTTTTTTCTGAGAAATGATGGTGGTGGAGACCTTGTTTCTTTAGCAAAGGTTACACACAGAGTTCAGAGAAATATTTATGTTTATTTAGCTGATTCCAGTTATAGTTCCAGGTATCTGACAACAGGATTATGAGGATAAGATTTTGGAAGAGGTTTCTGAGGCAGCATCTTACCCCTCTCTGCAGGAGCCTTCCTCATTCCTTACCTCATCTTCCTCTTCACCTGTGGGATCCCCCTGTTCTTCCTGGAGACAGCGCTGGGGCAGTACACCAGCCAGGGAGGGGTCACTGCCTGGAGGAAGATCTGTCCCATCTTTGAAGGTCAGTCAATTTACAGTATTTACTGGCAACACTTTCTAACAATTAGTGACTCAGAGTCTTTAAAAAAAATTACTATTCTTCTATTATTCTTTTTTTTTTCTCCTTTATTCTCCTTCCCTTCCTCTCTCTCCCAGTCTTGTTATTCCTCCTTGTGCCTGCTGTGTGTGAGGGGCAGTTCCCTGACCCTTGTGTGTGTGAGTGAGGGTGTGTGATYCTGGTTGGGGGCTCTGCTGGTCCAGTTGAACCACGGCCTCTGCTTTGAGAAGCTCAGAGCCCGGGAGAGAGGAGAAGCAGGATGACCAGCTTGAAGGAAGTATCAATATACAAACACCTGCTTGTGTCCAGGACAAATAACAAGGAGAGAAGAGGATGAGGAAAGGTCCCATGCAGAGCTGGAGAACTCCCATGCCCAGGGCTGCTGTGGCAGCATTTGCATGCTGGCATCTGTAAACTGGGAGAATCAGACTGTGTGCACTGGTCTGACAGCCCAGAGATGGGATGGGCTTGAGGCTAAGGCACAGGGATAAGAACCAGGACCTCTGGGGCCCTGGGGAAAATTGTTTAATGGGATTAATATATGCATTAATGCAATTTCCTCAGTTCTCCTGCCCAGAGGAGAGCTTATTAACCATGTTTTGCAGATGGAGAAACCTGTGTTCAGGCAGATTGGAGGCCTGGTTAGTTTGTTCAAGCATGGCCATGCAGTGCTATTTGAAACTCCCTGGGGAGTCTGGGACCTCCTGTGCTGGAGACCCTGTTCTCTGATACAGGCCTGGAGGTGGACAGCAGCAGCACCTCAACAGTCACTGAGAACCAATTTTAAATAAATGAATTGGGACTTCTGGCCTGATTATTGTTCTGAGGTCTCAATGTGCAATGGGTGCAAGCAGGACCCAGGAGCAAAGCTGAGTATGGTGTATATGAGCTGTAAGAATGTTTTTTGCCTGAGTCTTTCTAGAAGTGAGAGACMCAGCTGCATTTCTTTTCTTCAAAGGCTAGAGCTGTTTGTTTTTTCTTTCTGAAGAACAGGCAGTATAATGCAGTGGCATGTTAGCCATCAGAAAAAAAWTTTCAAATCAGCATAAGGTTTTCTGTCTGCTTCACCACAAACCTGTCTAGAGCTACCAACAATGTTTCCTATCTGCATGCACAGCTACAAAATCCTTTCTCTTTCCCTTAGGYAGGTCTTGCACTATACTCTGGAGAGCCATGTTGTTGGTGTTACATCCTTCTTACCACAACRTGGTCTGTGTCTTTGGGGTTAAGCCTGATGTGTTGGAGGTTGGTTAGCAGTCCCATCCTCACCTTCTTTGCTTTTCCTCCCAGGAATTGGATATGCCTCCCAAGTCATTGAATGGTATCTGAATATCTACTACATCATCATCCTGTCCTGGGCACTCTTCTACCTGTTCAGCTCCTTCTCTTCAGTGCTACCATGGGCCAGCTGCAACAACCCCTGGAACTCAGGTACCCCTTCCCTTGGTCAGCTTCTAGCTTCTTTCCAATTCCCAGAAATTATTTTGGTTTTGTTGAAAATACTGTTTTCGTTTGGTTAAGAAGCTCTTTCGAGCTGCAAAGTCATTTCATCAAAAAGCAGGCATTCTCTGGCAAGCAGAGAGGTGAATGKTAGAGTTTTCAAGCCAATCTAGAGCTCTCCTCATGTGGCAAGAGCTTTTTCTTAGCTCTGGTACAACAGTTTATGTTGCAGCTCCCTTCCTTCAGAGTTGTTGGGACWTTGCTGCCAGTGCCTGAGGAGTTCCTCTGTGCACTCAGCTTTTGGATAAATCAGGCTAAGTCTGCACTGGAGGATTTTGCCAGTACAGGTCTCCCAATGAAGGAACCAGTAACACAAAACTCTAAGGGTACTATTTTCCTGGTTAATCAMAACCATACAGCCTCTATACCATTACATTCATCAGGGGGTTCATCTCTTCATGTTCACAGCTCACTTAACTCTGCCCAGCAGAGAAGACCTTGCTTTGGCTKTTCTCGAGGCACTTGGGCTGTGCCTGGGAAGAAGAGGTAGATGTGAGGTAATCCTCATGAATCTCATGTCCTTGTCAGGACTTTAAGATGTTGAATAGGTTGTTTTGCTTGGCAGCAGCTTGGTTCCCTCCCTTTTTCTCTTGCATCAGGTGATTAACTTCTGCAATTAGTTAAATTTCTCTACCCTGTGGGCCTTTCACTCACAGCTCCCTCTGCCCCTTCATCCCAGCAGAGGTAATCAGCCTTTTAAAGAGCTGGTACAATTCCTTCAGCACCCCCAGCATGGGTTTGTTTGTAAGGAAAGCCATAGGTGCTACCTTAATAGAGAGAAGCTTCCTAGCCACAGCTGAGTTTCCTTGGTTTTCCAGTGTATGGAAAAATGCAAGATGAGGTGCATWGGATATGCGGCATCTCCTCTGCTTTTTGTTATTTCATGCTGTGTAACACAGTTGTGGAGGGCAAAGGAGAACATGAGCACATCTGTGGTGTGTGTGAACATGTGCATGCACGTGTGGATAAGGAAGGATGCATGATGTGGAAAGAGAATGGGATTTTCTATCCTGTCTACTCATAGTTGCTATCCCTCAATAATCTATATTTTGCCGCCATCTGTTTTCAATTTGGCAGGGAATTGTTCTYTTCTTCCCCTCTTTCCTTCCTGAAGCCCCTCTGGYTACTGCTGGATTGGGATTCATAACTGAGGAGAGCCAGAGTTTAATGAGATGTTTAATGAGATGCACGAATTTAATGAGATGCTCTGCAGCACAGGGTGGAGCATCTGTGTGCTGCCAGAGTGATGGTCCAGAGGGAAAGAAGTATCCCTCGTGGAGGAGCTCTAGAGAATTTCTCACCTCATCAGCTTCCTTTTTTTTTGGTAGATCTCTGTGTGGACATTCTGAATAGATCCAGCCTGGACAACAGGACCTTGCCTGCGAACGCCACCTCCTCAATGATTGAGTTTTGGGAGTATGTGATTGCTTTCCCTCTGTTCAGGCTCTCTCATCCAAAGCTGCAGGAGTATCGGGGTGGGGGGCTCTGTATCTGTAGGAGCAAGTRAGGTGCCACGTGTCTGATCCAACCACGGGAGCACAGCCAAGGAGATGGGCACAGAGCCCAGGGTGTGAGGACTGGGTACACCCCAAAGGCAGCTCACAGTGTGCCTGCCCAGGGRTGCTCATGTTCACCTTGAGGGTGTGTTCCCTTTCTCAGAGCTCACTGAGGTGCCTGAATGAGTGTGGCCACCGAGAGTGGCACCAAAAACAGGCAAGGACTTGCTGCAAGCAGGGGGTACATATGCTGGGTGTTACGGGTTGGCAGGCAAGCATGAGAGACAAGGGCAGACTGAACAGTCCACAGTTGAACAGAAAGGGGAAAAACTGCCTTTTCCCTTCTTCTGCTCAGGTCTCGTTTGCTATCTAAGAGAAGGGGTCCATCAGACTCTTCAGGATCATCCCTGGAGAGCAGGGATCTGAGGTGCATGCATGAGATGCCAGAGAGAAATTTGAGGAAGGAGGAGAATTTTGCRGAGTTTGAGGCTGGAGGCACTAAATTACAGTCTGAGTGAGGGGTCTTGCAGCAGTGACCCAGACAGGGTCATCAGTGCAGCCTGGAAAGGCTGAAATGACTGCTGGTGCCACCCTACCTCCCCACACACTACTGAGGAAAGTCTTATAAAGAAGAGGGGTGTCAGGAACTCACCTTCAGCAGTTGGGCTTGGTTTTTTCCCCATTTATGGCTCTTAAAGTACCTTTGAAAGGATTGACTGTCCTTTGTCTGTTGCAGCCACCACAGGGCACATAAAGGATGATACATGCCTGTGGTTGCAGAAGGAGTTTGCACAGTGTTGCCCCTCCTCTCCTGCCCTATTTCTTGCACATACTGTTTAGTGAGAGCTGAGGTCCCTGTGAAACAGTTGTTCATGTTTTCTATAGAGAGAGCAAGGGGAGACTGAGGGGACTGGTTTGGAGAAGGATGCGCAGAGGAGTTGTAAGTTTAGGGTTGGGCTTCTGGGAGCTGYATGAGCTGCAGTGCTGAGCTCTCGTGTGCCCAACCTTCACGATGATGAACCTTCAAGGAAGGAGGCTGAGGGAAGGGCATGGCAATCATAAAGATAATTTATRCTTATAAATTGTCTGGAGCATATGGGGAGAAAGAATGGTGGCCATGTGCTGATAGTGACTTAGATGGCCTGCTTTGGATTGAATGGTCTCTGCTGGGCAGCCAGGCTCAGGGAGCAATGGGTAACAGGTGTTGATTTTGTGTAGTGTGAGTCTAACAGGCATGGCACCGTGGGTTTGGAGAGTGGGAGGGTTTAGGTCAGCTACAGGACATGATGGAGCAGAGTTGAGCAGAAAGAGGAGCCTAAAGCAGCACTGGGATGATTTGCACGGCTGGGAGCCCTGGGCAGATGTGTCATAGATAGGCTGTTAAGTCTCTGGATGGGTTAATATGGGAAAGATCTGTATGGGTAAGTGGGGTCTGAAGTGTTAATGCTTCTTTCCTTTGTCCCTGGACACTGTCAGGAAGCGAGTCCTGGGGCTCACGGATGGTATTCACAAACTGGGCACTGTGCGCTGGGAGCTGGCTCTGTGTCTCCTGCTGGCGTGGATCATCTGCTACTTCTGCATCTGGAAAGGGGTCAAGTCCACAGGCAAAGTAGGAATGGAGATTATCCTCCCAGTCCATAAGCTTCCTTGTACCCATCTTATATTTCTTCCCCRATTTCTTTTCCTTCTTCATGAAGTAGAGGCAGGAGACGCAGCACCAAAGTGAAACCTAAAACCTGGTGAGGACATACTGTTTTACACCAGTTGTGTTTGAACCCKAAGAGGAAGAATAAATGAGTAGGTCCATCATGGAGGGGAGAATGGGAAAAGCATTGGGAATTGAGGAGAGTTTTGAGTCACATTTTCCAGCTGCAGATATCCATAGTGCCCTTGGAATCATCCACTCACCAGTGTGTTGTCCTGCTGTGGCTTGTGGGTGTTTTTAACAAGATCCTCTGCAGTGGCAGACTTCCCATCCCTGGCAATAATTAAACACTTGAGCAAAACAKACAAGCTGCTGCCTGTAGCCAGCTCAGTGAATAGATAATGAGTCTYTCCCATTTCTTTATCCTGCGAAACACTTGGGGTGGGAGAAGTGTCCTTGTTCTCTCTTTTGTACTCTCCCTGGATCTGTGGGGTTTGGGTCACTTGGTCACTTCCTGCATTTTGCTAACGAGGCTGGAGTCAATGCTCCCTCCTGATGTTGATACTGTAGAGCAGATGGACTGGTTTTCCTTCTGGAATGACTAGGTATTTGATGCTTTGGGCTGGGTATTAGGGACATGGCCATGGCCTTGACTGACTCAGGACCTCTGTCTTTCCTGGAACTGCAATCAGATGGGTGGATCATTAATGATGATTAATGATTAGACTTGTGGGTGTCCAGGGGAAGTCCCAATGGCAAAGGGAGRGGAACCAATTTCTGCAACAGATTTCTTCCTTCAAATCACTACTCTTGATGTGTTCCCTTTCGTACCTGACACTTGTGTTTCAGTGTCAAATACCATCTGCTACCTTAAAACTGCTCTGGAGATCCATTTCAACAGAATGAGAAAACAGCTTGCTCYCCTCTCTAGATTTTTCCAAGTTTTTACTGATGACTGGTTCTTGCTGATGCTGGCTTGTTGTCCACCATTTCTTAAGGAAGGAGAGCCAGACTSCCACACTTATGGAGAGAGGGGATGGTCTGCATTTTAAATCTCAAATCTCTGATGCCCCCAGATTTGAATGCCACAGTGCCATCTTCACAAGAGATATCATTGGAGATTGGGTCTGAGAGACTGTGTGATCCTCATGGAAAGTAATTATRTCACCTCAGGTTCTCTTCAGCTCTCAGCATTCTCCACCAAGTTTCTCCTTTGCCTGGTGCTGCCCCAGTATGCAAAACTTACCTGCACAAGGAGAAAGCTAAAGCAATTCAGTCAGGCTAGTTGGGCTGATTTGATTTGGGAAAACCAGACCAGAAAGTGATGGAAAACAGACAACACCTAGTAGATGGAATGCTCTTCCTGAGACTACAGAAGATTTTTCCCCCGCAATTCTTATGATATAGGACTTAGTATTTACCAGCCAGATGTTATGGACATGGTGCAACAGTACAGGGAGTGTTTTTCTGTCCCCAAATACCCTACAGGTCAAACAAGCCATTTGTATTCTCTGCAGGCAGTAATTTTGAGTATTRCAGGGGCACTGTCAAAAAATTCAACTGCTTCCTTCTTTTTCTTGCTGACAATATACTAAGATAAGCAATAGGGAAGACCCTAGAATTCTGAGTAGGTCCATAGCTTTGTTCAACAGCTCTAGATTAAACAGGAGGTTGTGCATGCCTGAGAGACTGCTCTAATCAGATAACCTTGCCGGATCCTTATGTTCCTGCTTCTGTGATTTAAGGAATCTGAATTTAAAGAAACCATGTGACCTCAGGAAAACAATTTCAAATGACTCCATGAAGCCTTTTTMTTTCATTAATTTTGCCCACTTTTGTGCTCTTTCTGTGCTTCTTTTCCTTATGCATTCAGCTGTTGTACATCAATGTTCCCCAAAAGTGATTTCTGAAGGTAGGTTTTAATACTTGTGCCCAAAGTAGTGCAATTCTCCTTCAATCAGGGAACAGCAAAAGTACCGTGCACTGTGACTTATTTTACCAATTATCACAAAGCACAAAAAATGTCATTTTAGGCCTGTCACTATGAATCTGTGGAGTAAACAAGCCTCCACATTACCTGGATGAATTTCAGTAATGAATAAATGTTAGGAAGTTGCAACTTACTCACAAATACTTTATAAACAGAAAAAAAGAATGTGCTAAATTAAGCAGTGGTTTAGAGATGATTAATTCCACTGTAGTATTTATTTATATAATACACAAAAAGAAGTGAAAATAGGCATTACAAAAATAATGTYCTACATTTTCTTTAAAGGCTTTGAGCTGCCCCCCATTTTTCCCATCAGCTCAGAGGCCTTGAAGGGCTGAGAATGACACATGAGCACTCCTGGAAATGGGACCCCTCATAGATATCTCAAATTGGACAGCAAAAGTTGGTATTTAATTTGGAAAACTCTTGCTGGGCATAGGACCATTTTAATAACTCCTCATTAAAGCTCAGTGACAAGAAGAGATCTGGGTTTCTTCTGCAGCTCTAGAAAGATGAAGGGAACAGCTGGAAAGCAGGGAAATTATGCTGACTGGAAAGAGAAAACGAAACAGAGCATCCAGTGGCAGAGTCTCAGATAAAAAACATGTMGATTAACTAAATCAGCAGTGAGATGTAACCTTGATTAATTTCTTTGCTATCCCTCTTCTGTGTTAGCAGCAGCAGCTGSAGCCAGCAGCAGAGTCAGGGACGTTTGCTTGGGTAGGGGTCTGCAGACGAGATGAGATGAGGTGATGCCTGACCCTGTSTCCTCTTGTTTCCCTGCCTCTGCAGGTCGTTTACTTCACTGCCACCTTCCCGTATGTGATGCTCCTCATCCTGCTGGTTCGAGGGGTGATGCTGCCAGGGGCTGCTGAGGGGATCATCTTCTACCTGAAGCCAGACATCTCCAGGCTGGCAGACCCGCAGGTGAGGGGTGGTGTCAGGCAAATGCTGGCCGTGAGAATGTTCTCAGTGCCCTGGCCTTTGGATCTGCTGCTAGCTGAGCAACYAGCTGTCATCTCTGAAAGGAGACCAGTGAACCAGGATCCTTAAAACTTCTGCTGCACAGTGCATCCTTTTTGCTTGTGGTCTGAAGCATAGGGATATATTAGATCATTTCCACTCATGGGCTCCGCAAAACCAGAAGTGTTTATCAAATTTTCAGCATGTAACAGATGGCTGTTAAATACAGATTATTAAGGGAGGGGGTATATAATCTATCACTTTTCATTTTCTCTGGCCTGGTTAGCACTTTGACTCCATCAGGGCCCTTCCAGGACATGTGGGAKTGTCTGTGCTTACAGAGACCAAAGGCGTGTGTGCAACATGAGCTGCGCCCAGCTGGGCTCCCTTCACCTGTCCTGGGGGCTGGTCCCGCCTGCCTGGGGTAGGGCCTGGCCAAAGGGCCAATCCCTGCCACGAGTTGTGGGAGCTCATGGAAACACTCAGTGAGATCCTGCTACCGAGTTTAGGCAGAATGAAGGGCTTTGGTTCAAGTGGGGTGTGTGCCCATGCCTGAAGGGTTCCTGTGGACGTGCCTGTCTGTGAGAAATCAGTGTAAACTTAGGTAGCAATGTCTGGGCTGGGATTCTTGCAAGGTTACTGAATTCCAGCTGCCTGGATGTTTGCAGCTGGGGGCTGCTTAGAGGAAAAAGAGAATGAATGGGAACCTGGAGACCATCAGAAAGGTGGGCTGTTTCCCTGCCTGCCTACAATTCCCAGCTCAGGGTTTTCCCTGGGACTGTGTGAGAGCAGAGCTGCAGCTCAACCCACAGCTCAGCTCCTCCATGGAGGAGAGGGCTGGAGCAGTGGTGGGAAACCCCACTAAGCTCTTCCCATGCAATGCCAGAGCAAAGGGGAACCTGTGTACTCTGTGACCCCATACTGGCCTGCAATCTCTGAGCTCAGTAATTCCCTGCCCTTTACCCTGCACTGTGGCCTCAGAGATGTGGGAAACTAGATCTGAGAGCAGGGAAGGGACTACACTGATTGTTGATCACACTCCTTTGGCTCTGCAGGGAGATTAATCATCTGGGCCATRTAGGGACCACAGATATCTGCAGTGACAGCTTCAGATGGAACCATGATATCAGGAATGCCATTTCTATCCTGAATGCARAGGTGTGGGATGGAAAAATGGTGTCACCTTGAGTGGGATGTGAAAATATGGTCTCCTCAAGAGACTTTTCCTAAAGGATTTCCTGTTCTATAACTCAGTTTTTGCAGATATGTATCCCAATTTCTCCATTCACTGTAGATCCTCTTTCTGTCTCACGGGGTTTGTTCTCCATGATTGGAGGAGTTATTGTTGATAGGGCACAGCCATTTGTTTATTTTGTTGCCAGGTCTGGAGACCACTGACCTTCTCTGTTCCAGGTCTGGATGGATGCAGGCACTCAAATCCTTTTCTCTTACGCCATTTGCCAGGGGTGCCTGACAGCTCTGGGCAGCTACAACAAATACACCAACAACTGTTACAGGTAGGGAGAGCCTGGAATCCTTATTTCCTTCTGGAAATCTGCTCAGAAACCACAGACCTGCATCAGAGGCAGGTTGGGTTGTGCTGCTGCGACTAAGGAGCTGCTCCAAGTGCAGAAGCTGCAGAGGACTCAGCATAGGGATGGAGAATGACTGGGGGAAGAGAGGAGTCCAGAAAATGGCTTCAGTAGTGCTCTCCTGCACGAGTCAGCTTGGAAATGAGAGACTGGAGGAGGGGGAGGACTGAAAATGGAGAGTGTCTCCAGCCACTCTRTATAGACAGCACAGTCTATTTTGACAGAGTGAGTGGGCAGGGGTGACATGGCCAGCTCTGCCTTCACTTGCTAGGCAGGGGAGGTGGTACAAAGATGATGGCTGGGCTCCCTGTCTCCCGTGCTTTACTACCATCAGAGTAATGTASTGCCAGTGGCCTTTTGATCCTATCAAGGAGATTAATCAAGTCTGCCTGGCCTTCTCCTTGCCCTTGGATTAAGGATCTATTTTATCCATGGCCTGACATAGAGCTCAGTGGAGCCATCAGTACCATTTTTGTCATCTTCTACAGAGCCCTGAGAAGCAGTGACTTTGTAATTCTTTCACATATTGCTCCAGCACAGATGGTAAAATAGAATTGTACTTGGGAGACATCAATCATCTCTCCTGTTGTCCAGTAGGTGCTACCATGGCTGTTGGTTGAGCAGTTAATACTTTCCTCTGGTTCTCCCAAAATGTTTCTGTCACAATGAGGCAGTGTGTTGACACTTTCCTCTAATTCCTTAGGTGCCTTTTGTTGGCAGCTTAGCTCCAGGTGTCCCAAATGTGCTGGGTGTCCACAGTGCCCCATAGCAGCTGATGCTGTGGGTCTGCTCTGACAGGCAGGATCCAGGGGTRTGGGGCTTCCAGCCCAGCCAGCTCAGAGTGGCGCCCAATTTTCACAAGGACTAAGTGCACAAAAGTTTCAGGACAAATAGCATTAGCCTCTGTCTAAGCATAGTTAATAAAGACAGTGTATACACAACCCTTGCCAGGTCAGGATTTTTACTATCCTATTAGCCCATGTTTGATTAGACCTGCTGAACTTGTGTGTGTTCATGCTTCCAGATACTCTTCTTTCTTGACTATGTTTACTTTTACAATCTCTCTCCTTTTCTAATTTTCTGTTTGCATTTTTTTCTCTGTTGTTTTTCCTATTCTCCTGACTCTTGTCAGCCTCTTTTGTTGCCATGTGTTTTGTGGTTGTGCCTCACTTACCCACTGTGCTGTCTATAGTCCCATAACTCTTRAACAGTGATAGGCTGAATTTTGGCTCTGCTCTGAGCTTTTTACTTCTGAGGGAGTTCAAGAATAAYATTGCTGTTTCTTGGTTAGTGCTTTCTGCCCAGGGAAAGCTGAGTACAGACATGATCCTGAGTGGATCCATTCTGCAGAGAGAAACACCCATTTCTCTCTGCTCTCCTTCCTGCAGGGACTGCATTATGCTCTGCTTCCTGAACAGTGCCACCAGCTTTGTTGCTGGCTTTGCCATTTTCTCTGTGCTGGGCTTCATGGCTCGAGAGCAGGGTGTACCTATTTCAGAAGTGGCTGAATCAGGTAAGTTTTTCTGAGAGACTTGAGAGCCCAGGGAAAACAAACAGCCTGAAGGGGAGGGCACTCTTCCAAGGTGAAACCCAAGATGTTCTCTCCATCCTCTGTTACTGTGGGCATCTGCAGAGAGGTCTGCAGGACCAGTACTCCTCAACAGAGCTTTCAACCCTGTGTGGGCACGGAGCTGTGGCAATAGGAGCTTTGAAAATGTATGTGAGCTTGCTCTGTGCTGCAGGGCAGTGGTGGCAGGTGGTAGTGTGGTGGCACACATGGTCATCCTGTGGTCTGTTGGTAGGTCCTGGCCTGGCTTTCATAGCATATCCAACAGCTGTAACAATGATGCCTGCGTCTCAGCTCTGGTCCTGCCTCTTCTTCCTCATGCTGATCTTCTTGGGACTGGACAGCCAGGTACAGCAAATCCCCCTCCTCATCTAACATGCAGGTGCATTCCCCACCCTGGGCACTCCCCATGGTCATTGAAAGGATAAGGTGGGTATGCTGGTACCTTCAATACATTCTCTACATTGGATGCAACACTTTCACACTGCGAGAGCTCGGAGACAGGGCCAGTGGCAGGCCAGTGGTTGGCACTGCCAGCATTGTGTGCTGGCATCTCTGCTGGCGTCTTCTCTCTGTGTGTATGTGAGGGTGTCCCAGCTACATCCTCCCCATCTTTGTGCCAGCACCAAAACTGTGCACACTGCGGAGTGAGGCATGAGCAGGGCACTCTGGGAAGGGGAATGGGGCTGTTTTCTCCCAGCTGCATTCCACCAGAGCAGTTCCTGTGTCCTCACCAGGGTGCCCATCTCTTACATTCTATACCCTTGTTATGCCAGGAACAAATGCTGCAGAGTGCAGTGTGCAGCCCTGCTGCAGGCACAAGGGGAGCAGGGTGTGTCCCAGCATGTCCATCAGGCAGGTTTTTGCTAAGGCTCTGCTCTGTAGTACCTGAGCCYTTGTACCTGGATTATCAGGCCTTTTTCCTGTTTCTGCTGGCCCTTGGTGGAAACAAGACAGATGAAAAGAAAAAATGACAAAATAAGGATTTAGGTGGCAGGAAAAAAAAGGACTGTGAGGGAAGTGCGTGCCTGGGGATGGAGAGACACTGATTTSTCTGACCTGTTTTGTCCTGCAGTTCGTCTGTGTGGAAAGCATGGTGACAGCTATTATTGACATGTTCCCAGGAGTGTTTCGGAAGAAGGGGCGTCGGGAGCTGCTGATCCTGGGCATTGCAGTCATATGCTATCTGCTGGGCTTATTGCTGGTTACTGAGGTAAGCAAGAAGTAGCTGGGTTGTACAGCTGAGCTTCACAGCCCTGGAGGTCTGGACAGAGACAGCAAGCTTGTCTTTGATGCTGTTAATTAGCTCTCATTTCTAATGCATTAGCTGGTGTCTGTCACAGCCGGTGCTGCTTTGACCCCTGTGACATTGGTGCACCCCCTGCATCACTGAGCCTTCAGAGATCCTGGTYCCACAGCCCGGAGAGGCTGCTTGAGAAACAGCTTTGTGCAAATACCAGACCTGGGAGCTAAAACAAGTGGAGCTGTTTGAAAATAAGCTCTTCTAAGGGCAGTGATCGTTTGCTGGCTGCTTTCCACACAAAGCAGAGCAGCAGGAGAGGAGCCTGGGGATATTGGCTGTGCCATAACCCTGCTGGAGCCTGTGGGAAGCCTGTGATCTCAGGAACCAGAAGGAGTAGAGTGGTGCTGGTGCGGTGCCATGCACAGTGTGTTTGCATTGCTCTGCAGCTCAAAGCTGCACCTCTTTCTGCATGGTGCTGTGCTCTGTGTGTACCACATGCTTGGGTAGGGGTCTTAGCACTCCTGCTAATTCCTATTAAATCCTGGCTAAGGATCTGCTGAAGGCAGCTCCTACYGTAATCAATTTGAGTGATGCTGCCAGTCTAGAGCCCTTCAGCATTGTTTGAAAGCATCAATCTGACCTGGAGGGGCTTTCTCTTGGAGAAATCCCATGAAAATCATCCACAGGCCTGTACAGTTAGCTGATGGCAACTGTGCAGGGCTCAGCTTGCAGTCAGAGGCAGCAGGAAAGCCTCTGYGATTGCAGAGCTTGAACCTCGAGCAGCATGAAATGTTGGATGAAAGTAAAATGAGGTATCTGAATATCCTGGTGTTCAAGACCATATTTTTTTGAAAGCAAAGTTCTGCACTGCTACATGGTATTTCAACAATTATGCTGGAAACTTCCTAATGGTTTTAAAAYAACACAACGAACTGGCTCCTTCTCTTATGTATGTAAAAGACAGCCTACCCCAGCAGTATCATAAAATGGGCATGAAAAATTCTCCTGCCACCAGAACTGACTGYATTTTAGGAACAGAGTGAGGGGTGCCCCAAGAGAAGGCCCTTCTCCCWCCTGCTCTAGATTCAGTGTTTCTGCTGCTATTCTTCTGCTTGCCCCACTCATTTTTCCCTGACATGGAGTAGTCTTGCCATGTCTCTGTTTTCTCTACCTCTTCAACAGGGTGGCATGTACATCTTCCAGCTCTTTGACTACTATGCTGCCAGTGGCACATGCCTGCTCTTCCTGTCTATTTTTGAAGTCATCTGTATAGGATGGGTGTATGGTAAGTGGAGGGAAAAATCTGAATTGCTCTGTATCGAGGCAAGAATGGGGGGTTGTGAAGTGGGAGTGGACAGAAAAGGTCCTGAGGGGGCAAAGAAGCGCTATAATTATCTTTTCTTGTCTAGTTTTCACTTTGTTCCCTTGTAACATTTCTTAATTGCTCCACATTTAGATTAGGAATGTTTTTTCCTTCTCTGTAGGTGCCTCATGTTGAACTACTTTGCTGTTCTTCCCATTTCCTCTTTGAGTTAGAATATCAGCTATAGAGGAGTGAGTGCTGTTCTTTGGTGTCTGTTCCTGTCTATTTACATTGTGCATTTGGTTTAGTCCTGCCAGTTAATTTAACACAAAATGCTGGAAGGCAGGCTCACTGTGTTTTACTTCTGTGATGATACCTTCCTGTTTACCCAGGCTGTGATGGCACTCATAAAAGAAATAGGAGGGACTGCTTTGGCTCTCAGTAAAGTCTGTAACTAAACGACTCAGGAGCAGGATAAAACTGAGCTCCATGAACTATCAGGAGGAAACCAACTGCTAGTTAGCCTGTGGAGTAGGAAGAGTCTGCTCTGGTATCCTATGGGAGATCTCTTCCTGAACACAAAGGCTTTGGTTCTACTCCCAGAAGCCTGTGTCGAGGCTGATGGTTTTTGGGCAAAGTGTCTAGTGTGTGATGCAGAACAGCTGCTCCCTYTCTTTGCTTCATGGAACTACATGAGCTGGTACCCATAAGGTTCATGCAGAGTCTAAGATGATGCCAGACTTCAACATCCCAGTTATACATCTGTTGGTTCCAACTACTTCAAGCAGCATTGCCATCATAACCTCAGGGAAAGATTGCAAGCATAGCATTGTGTTGTGTCTCAGTGGTCAGGAGTGGATGCTCATGAAGGAATACAAAAGAAGGAAAGTTAGGAAATGGAAGAACATTCCTGTGAATGTTCTTCCAACTTTTAACAACTTACCATAGATCTATAGAATAGTTTGTATTAGAAGGGACCTTTAAAGGTCATCATCCTCTCTGCCACTTTCACTTCCAGGTCACTCAAAGCCCTGTCCAACCAGGCCTTGAACATTTGCAATGGCAGTGTATCCACAGCCTCTCTGAACAACTGGTTCCAGTGTGTCAGCATCTTCAGAGTGAAAAATTTCTTCCTTGTGTTAACTCTAAACCTTTCCTCTTTCAATTTAAAACTGCTAGCCCTTGTCACGTCACTACAAGCCCACTTTATACATTGAAAGGCTGCAACAAGGTCTCCCTGGAGCTTTCTTTTTTCCAGGTTGGRCAGCCCAAGYTCTCTCAGSCTGTCTTCATAGGACAGGTGCTTCAGTCTTCTCTTAGTTTTCCTGGTCCTTCTCTGAAAAAACTCTATGTCTTTCTTGTGCTGGGGGTCCTAGAACCAGATACAATACTCAGCTTGTTGCCCATGAATTTCCAGTGCCAGAAGTGAAATCTATTTATTTATCTTCTGTTACTTTGATCCACTTGGCTTGGCTAAGCATTTATCATCCACAAAATACCGCAGCAAGGAGTTCCATGGCTTGTTCAGGTGTTGTGTGGGGAGTCATTCTCTTTTCCTAGTTCTGAAGTGGCCACTTGCCAATTTCATTTTGAGCCATCTTTGCCTGGTTATGTCACTGACATAACTGACACAGTCAGTCCCTGTGTGCTCTTTTTGGTGCTTATGGTTTTAGAGAGGTTGCACTGGCTGCAGTGCAGTTGTTGATGAAGGTCTTATCAGTTTCCTCAAATGCTTTATGTGGAGCAGGAGCCAAGTGCTAGTTTGGATAAACTCTCTTATTGAAASGGTAACCGGTCCAGCTGCTTGGTCTTGAGCTCCAGGGAATGCAAGAGAAGCAGATCTGTAAGAAAGATTTATTTAAGAAAGATGTCCTTCAAGGGAAGCTCACCTGACAGCTTGCAGTAACAAACCCTGGTCAGATTTTAATTTTGAGTCACCTTCTGTCCAGTCCTTCTGGGATTTAAAGGGACATGGAGATTTCCATCCGTGACAGGATGGRGATCACTGTGCTAGGTTAATTAATTAAACTGAATTATGCTTTGAGGTCTAATGCCATTTTTATGGCATTTATAGTTATGCAGGCCACATGCCTTTTCTGATGACCCTTGGAGAGGAATAATGGCAGACAATGAGTAACAGGAGAGGTGTTGCTGCCCCAGAAACCTCAAAGGAGTAGTAGGGGACAGAGAAATAGCCCTTTTCCTCACCACCATGGGTTCATTTGTGCCACTTCATACAGCATGATTTTACCCTCTTCATGTTCTGCTTTACATCCAGTGGGATGATTCTGGTCTGAAACRTAGTCAGAGGGCTGAGATGAGGCATTATAGTGGGGAAAAAAAAGTGACTAGTGCTGAYTAAAGTTTTTATTTCCCCAGCCTCAGAACTGGCAGGGCTGAGCCTCTTGCTTACACTGTGAAGAATTACAACATTTCTGCTAACACAAATATGCGTTCTGAATTTCCCCTCTCCCAGCACATACRCCAGCCACCCACCACTTGGCAGCTTCCTCCTGCTGCCAGGCAGCTGCTCTCCCAAAGACCTGAGGATTTCCTCTGTACTGCTCCCTGCCTGTGGAAGGATYGTGCAGCATTGGGCTTGCTGACCATGTTCCCTAGAGGAGGGATTCTGGTGTCACTCTGCCTCTTTGGGACAGGCAGCCCTWCTGTAAGCAGGCATGGGGTCTGAGCACTGAGATTCACAACATGATGCCACACAAATGTGCTGCAGAGGATATTTTCCAGGCAGTCACAGCATGCACATTAGGATTAGCTGCTCCAGGAGAAACCAAAGGCCTCCATCACTACGGGAGAGCCAGGGCTGAAATCATTAGGACTGTTTACAAAGCTAAAGCAAACTGATGCCAGAGGGTACCTATGGGTGGCCCTGGGGTAAACCCATGTTGTGCTGCAATAAATCTTTCCCTGGTTCTATTGCTCACTTGCAGCGTGGCTACCAGCATGGCATGGCAGCCTCCTCCTGCCTGTATCCTGCCTGTCCTGTCTGGCTCTGTGTGCTGAATGCTCTCAGATGCACTGGCTATGAGCAACCTTACATGCTTCTCTATGAGCCAGAAAGGGCCTGCTCTGTGCACCTGGCACCCAGAGGATGCCAGGTTATTGTGGTGCCATGATGCCTCTGTTGCTGGTTCTTTGCACAAGTTTGGTGCAGGTGTTGATGCTGCAGGTTTGAGACAGGGAGGGAGCAGATACAGACTTGGCACTGCAATGTGGAGCCATGGTCATTACCTGTTGGAATGTTGGGGGTGAACTTTGATATAGATGAATGCAAATAAATGCAGCTTGGGAGAAAAGACATGTAGGGATTTTTTATAGATTCAGAACTAGCAGAACTGTGAAAGTTGCTGCTTTTTAAACATGRTGAAAGTAAAATTAAATTTTTGTCCCTTTTAATTTGCGCCTCATTTGCTGTTTTTATAGGCTATGTAAAATGAGAAAGACTCCATAAGGACAAGATATAAGGTGTAAGCAAATCTCTCGTTAGGTTCATGTGAAATTTATTCCTGTGAATTTATGTGGCAAAATGATTTGACTGAAAAGCACACAACCACTTTGAAGTTATATGGGATTGATCAGCACAAGAGAARGGGTACCAGCATGGTTAACTGTCCRGTGACTGCATCCCAGTCTTCCTKGTCTTTAAATATTAGAGATAAATGCAAACATCTTTGTTCAATCCAACAAAAATCTCTTTAGGGAAGACTTTATGACTTTCTCTGCAAGAGCTTTATCTAATCTCTCTAATGTGCTGGGAAGGAAGGGCACATTGCTCTAGTACGTGTCCTCCAGCTTCTGATTTGTTCAAAAAGCCAGTGYAGAGTGGTTGAAGTGATGACTTCTTAAGCTTGATTACTTTTTCATCTGCCTGTGAAATGTAGAATATGTAAAATCTCCTGATCATATACTCTCTGAGGACATTCATGTCAGTCCCCATTGTGCTTCATCACATCACCCATTGACTGCCACAGTGGCCATGGAAATGTAGGACCTGSCATTTGTCCTACAGAGAAAAGGGACAAGGACAGGTGGAGGCACATTGTAATTAACAGCATAAGTTGTGGTTTRTTTTCTTATTGGAGAATGGATGTGTGTGTGCTCTTTTTGTTTGGCATTTTTGTATTTCTTTAATTGATACATCTCTTTGACTGGATCCTAGATCTAAATTGGCAGGGRAACTTTATCTGCCATGAGTTTGTATTATGAATTAATTTATCTGTCATATGTCTGACATCACAGTGTATTTCTGTGGAAGACATTGTGCAATGCTTATATTCTAAACTGCAATTCACATAATCTATATATCTTTTTTTTCCACCCTGTGGAGGATTTTGGCTTTTTGGCAAAATTAATTTTATACACCATCTCCTTTCATCCTCAATATATTTTCAGAAATGCTATCTGAAGCCTCATGATATTTAAAGCTTGGAAGTTCTCTGGTGTAGGCTGGGCTCCCACACAAGGCTGCATGTCCCTTGATATACCACAGCTTGTTGTCTTTGCTTGAGGCTACTTGTTAACTTGCCAACTCAACACCAAGAGTTGTTCAAAGAACTACCCTCCCCCTTCCCCCATCCCCTGCCTGAAATACTTCAAAAAACTGGGTTTAAAAGAGATTTTCTGCAAGCATTAGTCATGGGATATAGAAAATAACACAAAGAATTAAAAAAAAAAAAAAAGCANNNNACATAATGTACTTTTGTAGAATTACTATATTTAAAGGATGCATAATATGAGAATTAATTCTGAGACAGAAACCACAAACCAAAATAAAACTCACCAAACTCCAAACACTCACAAGTGTGGCCAGTTCTCTAGGCACATACTTTTCCCAGTCCATCYCTCTGGTGTTGAGATATAAAGAAGCAAAATCTTATCACATTTGCAATTGGGAACAGTGGCCTGACTGTGAGTTCACAGATGGATGAATACCCCTGAAATCAGAATCCGAATTATCAGCTAAGCACCAAGATAAAGTTTTAATAAGACATATACAGTATTATTTCATCCCAGAGGTGCCTAACTGGTAACCCTTTTTCTGGACAGTCTAGCTYAATTTTGTTTTCTAATATTGTTGTCTTACTTTGCCTGAGGCAGTCTGATATATCTGGTTAGTTTTGGTTTGAAAGGTGCTTGGGCACCTTATGAATGCCTTTTTGATTTTTCTTAATTTTACAGTTCTTTCTGGCCAGCATTAAGTTCTTGATACTTGAAGACATTCTAGAGTTTGTTGCAAGGTCTGCTGAGATCCATCTACATTATGTTGTCTCCTCCATGACACTATTTGCTCTTTGTGTTTGGGTTGGGAAGAATCAATGGTTAGAGTCTGGCCTGTGGCAGGGCTTTTAGATGCTTTTCCAAAGTATATCCCATTCCAGGGMACTGTGAGATTTAGGTGAGTCCCACACACTGTGAACAAAATAATCCAGTAAGTGAAACTAATGAGAAGAAGGACATCACACACCCATCAGACAGCCCTCACTGGGGAGTACAGCAGCACTTASAGATGGAAGGCTTGGTTTTCGGAAGCGTTTGCATTGCCTGGTTTTCCGAATTTATGCCAAAAATAAAATATTCTGTGGAAGACAAGCTCTTGGTGACAGGGTCCTCCCCATCTCAGTGGGAATTCTTGACATGGCTTCCCTGGTGTACCAGCATATCTRTTTACAAAGTGAAGGTTTAATTAGGTGTTCCCCACTCTCTTTGTTCCTTTTAGCACTCTGTACTCACACAATCCCATCTGATCAAATTGCAAGAGCTTTCCCTTGCTTCTCCATAAAGCAGGCACTCCTCTTTTCTTTGTGCAGTTCTTACTAGTAAATGGGCTGCATCCTCTCACTTGCAGCTGATGCTTCCTGAGGGACCATACTATTCTTCAATGTCAATCTTTCTGACAATTATGGCTGAAATTAAGCCCTTCCATCGCTATATAGCCCTAGATGTGCCTTTTCAATACCAGAAAACCCCCTCACCTGCTGCTCTATTATTAGGATAGCCATGTTTTCACCAGGAGTWGACACCAAGGATAAAGAAAGTTGGGATCTGATGTGAATATTGGTTGAAGGMAACAAAATCGATCTGACCTCTGACTTTGTTTCTGTGCTGGTTGGTGGCCAAGGTGCCAACCGCTTCTACGACAACGTTGAGGACATGATTGGCTTCCGGCCATGGCCCTTGATCAAGATATGCTGGCTGGTGTTCACCCCGGGTCTCTGCTTGGTAAGTGCAATCATGACATCATGACATGTCACTCTAGGTCCCCAAATCCTCGGTAGAAAAGGCTGATTTGTCTCCAAGGTGCTGCTGTAAATTTTTCAAACTGCTGTGGAGTAGCAGAAGCTTGTCCATAGCTGAGGTGGCTATTTATTTCCTTTATAAAGCCTTATGGTTTGCCTGGAAAATTAATTGAGCCTGAAAAGCCAATTGTTTACTGTGAAAGCAAAAGGAAATGTATCCTCAAAGCCTGGAGAGGTTTGGTCAAATGACTTACGAATGGAAGACCAGTGAGAATTACCCTGTTCTGAAATACTTCCTTCAGCCTGTGTTTCTGGGGCTGACCACAGAAATATCTTTCTACAGCCATTTGCATTCTATATTATTAAATCTCTTCCAAAACTTCTGTGACTGTGGTAAAAGAAAATGCACCCAAATTCAGGCAAGTTCTTGCCTGTTTTAAATTTATGTCCAGTCTTGGTCCACTGACTTTTACATGATTTCTGAGCCAAATTMTGTTCCTGTATCTGATGTTGAGAATTGTTTTCTTTGACCTCAGTGGGAATAGAGATGGGATCTATAGCTACAATTTACAAAAGATTCCTAGTCCTTTGTCCCCAGGCTTCAGCAGGATTTGAAGATCTGGGAAATTTTTAAACCAGCCCAAATTGTCTGAGAGCTCTGTAGCTAGAGAGCCCCTAGAGGGGTAAATCTATGCCTGTGTTGTATTTCTGGAGGGTTTCTGCCTGGTGGAACAACAATTCTTGCCTTTGATATGAATAAATTCCTCTCAGTGTTGCTGGACCCTCAAAGCTGCTGCCAACTTTGCTTATGTCGAACTCTTCAGAAGCCTGAAGGCTTTACACTGCAGATGCCTGGCCCTGGCTCTGAGAACTCCTTGTGCAGCCAGCATGCACCAGGCTCTGCTTGCTGCAGCCAGCAAGGTCCCTGCTGGCTCATTTAAGACAGAAGACCCRTTGCCACACTTGCAGGGTGGCCAGGCTGCCAGGCTTGGCTCYTCCCTTTGCTCTCCTGATGTTTGTGTTTTCTGCTCCCCAGGGTGTCTTCCTGTTTTCCCTGATCAAGTACACACCCTTGAAATACAACAATTCCTATGAGTACCCACCCTGGGGCTACGTGCTAGGCTGGCTGATGGCACTGTCCTCCATGGTCTGTATTCCTCTCTATGCCATCTTCATCCTCCTGAAAACCAAAGGACCCCTGAAACAGGTACTGGGATTGTGTTGGTGATGGTGTTGTTGTTGCTCCCCAAGATGGTTCRTTGAAGGGCCCCAGGGAAGAGGAACATGGCACACTTCTCCTCTGTGAAGGCAAAGGTGGATGAGAGTGGCTGTTGCCCAGAATGCTCTGTAGCTCTTCCTGGCAATTTGGAGATCTTGGAGTGTCTCAGTACTGCTCCCAGGCTGATCATCAGATGTCCAATCTTCCYTGTGGTGTTGCACCGTCATGCTCAGTGCAATATATAGACACATATATTTAGTTTATATGCAGCAACCAATACCAATGCAAACCAAGTGCAAAGCCAGGATCTGTTTTGTCTTTACTTCTCGTCCCTTGTAGTCCTGGGTCAGAACCATGTTATTTTCAAAAAAGGAATTACCAATTTTTATTAAAGAGGCCATTCTCACAGAGTTGTAAAGGTCTACCCTGTGCCATGCCTGAGCCTATCCTCTTTCACTGTAGACATCTTTGTCTTTGTTCTAGGAAGTACTGTATCTAGGGAGATGGTGTCATGGAGATGATCCCTCACTTGACCCATGAAAAAAGATCTGAGTGATGTACACTACATCTTAATTTCTTCACAATTCTCTTCTAGTCCTTCCCCATCTTTACTGCAGCTGGTCAGAGGGTGGGTGAGTGAGGGAGCAGGTGAACAGGGCATGGGAATATCCCTGTGGCTGTTGTGTAGGTGTGACAGTCACGTTATGGGCTCATGGTGAGGAGGACCCTGCATTGGCCACACATCCAGGGATGGGCTGGGTACAGAATGTTCTCATTGGTTCCATTGTCTCAGGGAAGGTGATCCTGTGCTCTGTTCAGTGTCTCTTATTTACTGATTGCACAATGTGTCTTAATAGGGAGAGACAGGATTTGTGGCMGAGTGGGCTAATGCCTGCCTTAGGCTCAGGAAAAGAGCAAGGCCCAGATGGGAGGAGTTGTGATTAAAGTCTTTATTGGAAGAGAGAGAGAAGCATAGGCAATGCAAGCAGGAAGGCAGAGGAGAAGTATGCACTGAAATAGTTCCTGTTTAGCTGCCTTTAACCCTTTGGCYTCCTGTTTGCTGTTGGTAGACATGAAGAGATGATGAGTCTGGAAGGGAGCTGGGAGCTGTACGCTTCCCAGTATGAGGAACTGCAGGTGAATCCAAGGTGCTGTGATATGATTTGCTCCACATTCATACCTTGTGTCCTGCCTGTTACAGCCTTTTCCTGTGCTCTGGGGCACAGGATGTATCCATCATTTCCCATGGCTGGTTTGAAGAGTTTCACTGGGTGGTTGATATCTCTGACTACACACTTTCTGTGTCTTAATGAGGACTTGGAGCTGTCAGAGAAGTAATTGCCCACAGGTCCTGCCTGCTATACAAACAATRTCTCTGACCAGGGTCAAAGTGCTTCAAACTCTTTGAAATGCTGCTGTGAGTAGTGTTAATGCTCATTGTAGAGCACACCTGAAGAATTGATCTGGACCATTTCAGATCGAGGGGTATCCTCTTTGTCCTGGTTTACATGATATTAATTGAGATTTCCAAGGACTTCTCAGCTACATGAAGAAATTTCCAAGGATGTGGTTTGGATGTGTGGGAAGGAACTGGTTGCTAAACCTGGATGGTTTCAGGGCAGAATCCAAGCCAGCCACAAAATACCTTCTGGGATAGTTGCACCTGTTCTGAAAACAAATTTTCTTGAAGTGTACCTATTCTTCTTTTCCAGTCCCATCCCAGAATTGTAGTGAATTAATTKCCAGACACAGGTGTTTCCAGGAACAGTGTCTGAATATTGCAAACCACTGACTGAAAGCAAGTTTGTAATTGGTAATTATGATCAGTCACTGCAACAAACGGATTCCTCTTGTTACACTTGACTGACCAAGAAACACRAATGTTGTTTCCTAATGTGCCTGATTAAGACAGCTCAAGCTCCAAAGACTAAAATCTCACAATGAAGTGCCCACAGAGCAGCTGCACACCAAGGTCAATTTTGGAAATCATGGGGCAAACAGTTTTGAATAAATGAACAAAATCKGTGATTCTGGCAGGCACTTCACAAGAAGTGGGAGCATTAAGATTAATCAACGGGTCATGGATGAATTGCCTGCTTTGCTTGTGATGCACTCTGCAAGGGAGGAGCACTGGCCTGAACAGCTTGTGATGGAAAAAGTTAGTAACTGTGAAAGTCAGGTTTCATCTGGGAAATGATAGGCTGTCCCATGGAGCTGGCAGGTAGCTGCAGGACATCAAGAGTTACTTGGCTTTGGGAGGAAACCAGGAGCTCAGGAAGGTGTGTGACACCAGAGAGGCTTGAGAAATGGGATGAAAAAGACCAGAAATTCACTACAGTTGTCATTGTGAGCCAGCACTTTTTGCCAAAAGAGCTAAAAAACAATTTCATTTTTTAAGAATAATTTTATTTTTAAGAATTTTTATTTTTAAGAATTAAAATTTTAAGAATTTTTAGGAAAGTTGTCACAACACTGCTTACATGTCTGTGGAACAGCCTRTAGCACCCTGCATTTTACAGGATGGAAGGAGCTAAGAGCAGGCAGCTGCTTCACAACTTCTGCCTTCACCACCACAGTCTGCCTGACTGGAGGAGGGGAGTTGGGAATGATTTGGGGCAGGAAACAGTCTGAGGAGGGACTGCTTTACCCGGGCAATGCCACTGAGGTAGTTATCACCTACCACCCTGTTTTGGACCATAGCATGAGATGCCTAGCATCTGATGATCAGACCCTCTGGAAGACTTCATAGCTCTCACCAGAATCAATGGAAAGCTGCGTGGKATAGGAAAAGAAATGGTTTTATGGTGTTTATTTCCAGCCACAGAAAATGTCTGTGGTGTTAATTGCTGCCATCCTCCCTCACAGTAGCAGGTCTGTGAGGAGTGCAGTACTTCAGATTATCAGTCCACAGCTGAGATTTGAGCTCAGAGGCAGAATAATTGTCACTGAGAGCAGCTGATGCAAACCTGCTCTCCTTCTCTCTTTCACAGTCGTTCAGCAGGAGAGGAGCTGGGGGCTGAGAGCACTGGCTCTCTAGATGCCTTTGCCCCCAGCAATGGCTGTGGATCACTATTGGCTGTGAGTTTGCTCATCAACTTAATTAACAGCGACTTCCTTTCCACAGCGGCTGATGCAGCTGATTTCCCCGGCGGAGGATCTGCCGCAGCCGAAGAAGCATCGTGTGGCGGAGCGGTTGAAACTGAGGAGCGAGGGATGGTCTCCTCCAGTCCAGGAGGTGCTCAGCATCACAGAGAGAGAAACCCACTTCTAAGCCACCTGGGCTTCCTCCATTACCCAGACTGATTGGCTCTCTCCTTCCCAAAGTGGTTTCTTTTCTCCTCCCTTCTCTCCTTCATATCTGAGACAGAAGCATCTGGGGCACCTTGTCCTTCCAGCCAGCTGGCAGCATCCACTGGGGACAGAGTTTTTTTTGACACCCTGGGGACAACTCTTCCTGCCAGCAGCAGTGGAGACTACAGCAYGCCTTTGTCAGAAGCGCCCTTCAGTACTGACACCGGTTGGAAAGAGAAAAACAACATTGTAGCAAAAAAAGAAAAAAAAGGGGGGAGGAAGCAAAAAAACCAAGAAAAGTGCATATGTGTTGGGAGGAGGACAAGAAACCACAGTGGTGAGAGTGGTGAGAGAGAGCAGAGATTAAAAGTGTGAAGGAACCCAGTTAGGGATGCAAAAGCATGAAATGATCAGGCGTTAGCACAGGATATAAGTTGGTTCTGAAGCACATAAGAAGCCGGAGGATGATAAAGTGCATTGCTAGGTCACCTATGTACAAAGGAGAGAGARCCAGGAACACATCACAGCCAATGACAAAAGGAGGCTGCAGTATGAGTAGTTACAGCTTCAGCTGTCACTGGATGGGAAGAGAGCGACAGGGTGCTTGATGCAATCGTGGCTGTTGATGATGGATCTCAAGGCAGTCTCAGTCTGGAAAAGGAGGTGAGGAATAACTATCTAGGGGACTTGCTCTTGGTCAGAACTACACGGCCCAGTGAAAACGCATCCGAGAGTGAAACCGATGAATATTTGACAATTCTTTCAGAAAATTCACGGACTGCAAGGAAAGTCCCAGAGCAGTTGGTAAGAAAAAAAAAAAGATCTGCAGTACAGCTGGGAAAATGAGACCCTGAGGACTGCACGCCCACAAATTTAACTGCACTGCTGGGGCATTTTGTAGAGGAATTAATGAAGGAGTTGMTGGGCCTGATCCTGTGCTGCAAAGTAGCTTCGGGAAAAGGGTGGGAGAATGATTGCTCTCCCTTGGCTTTGCTGTGGATGATTGCTCAGGGGATAAGGAAGACATAATCGGGCGCAATAATCATCAGCTCAGGCAAGATAAAGCAAAATTAATAGGTAAGATGGGTTCAGTGAAAGCAAATTGTGTCGAATTAAAGGTTGGTTGTTGCCAGGGTACTCAAAAATGTGAGGTGATGGGTGGGAAGGATTGTGTTCAGATGCAGGCTTTGGTGCAGTGCCAGACAACTCTGTCCTGGGGAGGCTGGGGCTGTATAGCTCCCTGCCAGATCCTGCTTCAATGCCTATCAAAATTTCACAGCTAAAACCACCAGAAGAGCCAGTGGCAGGATGCCCCTGGGAGCTCTGATGTGGCCGAGCATACAAGTGCTGGTGCATGTCTATGCTGCAATGTTGGCGCATCCAACCACGCCAGAGAATGGCCATCAAAATGAATCACAGATGCCACAAGCTTCTTTCCCTCGTTCCTTGTTCCACATAATTGCTTTTCCCTGTGCTGTGTGGAGATAAACGACCGACACCAAAAGTAAGCGGGGAAATCGGGCCTCATCTGTGCKGCTCGGTACCTATTCCAATTGCTATGGGAACCTTATCTGCTGCCGTTTCCTCTGAGTTTAACTGGAGAATTAGCATAGGGCAATCTTTTCCCCATTTAATTTCCTTTCCTTTAAAAACTAAAAACTACAAACCGCTGGTGAAATGAACGCTGAAAGTCAAGTATCAGGATTTGTACCTCTCTAGGACARTCATTGGATTGGAGATGTTTTACTGCGGAAGGTGGAGAAAGCTGACAAACCTCGTTCACGTTCCCTGCAAAGGACTGCAGCATCACATAAGACACCGTTTATTGTATTTTTATTTTTTAAAGAGCTGAATGTCATATTGCAAATAGCTGTGGGAAGAGCTTAGCACCCAGAGGCTTGCAGTCAAGCCTCATGCTAAGTAATTTGATGATTTTTCCTCTTCCTCCCACCAGTGGTGCTCATGGTTTGGTGGGGGAAACAGCTCCCTCCTAATCTTGATCTTTGTACARTCCTTGGTAGGACATTTAACCCCTTTGCTCCTTCTGCCGTGCCTTTAAGATATAAGGTATTGTCGTGCTGTCAGAGAAGTAATGCAGATGTGCACTTCTTTTTCTGAGGCATTTGAGCAACACTGCAAAAATCCTAGATAGAAACAAATCCCTTTTCAGTTTGGAACAAAAATGTGTGTCTRTGTTATTGAAAATAAATACTGCATGAACTTGTTCCCCTGTTGCATATGTATAATCTGACAGTAGCATCATACCTCTGTGAGGAAGCAACTTATTTTAATAAAATCAGAGAAGGTATTGCTGTCCCCATTCAAAGCAATCATAAAATTCCCAGGATCAAGAAATTAATCCAATTTCTTTGGATGGAATTGACAGATTTTCGGGAATTTTAAGTCAAAGCAGCGTCATTTAATTCTCTTTCCTTTAAAAACAAAATACATCTACATGCACCCAGCTGGGAAAATGCTATCAGTGGCTGTCTTTTGCTGTGAGACCCCCAGCACAATTAGAGACCAAGTAATGGTTTGTTAAATTTWTACAAATGTTTCAGGCATTGTTGCATGCATGACAGATCTGACACGTCTTTATCAACCTCTGGAACTGGGCACCTCTGGACATCTCTGGGTCTGATGGGAAACTGCTCCTGTCCTGCACATCACCAGGAATGCACTACTAAAGGGATGGTAGGGAGAGGAGGAAGAGTTTATGTTTTTTTCCCCCTGTAATTGTTGATAACATGYCAAGACATGATACATTTGAAGCTGAAGTCCAAGAGAAGGTATGAGGTGGCCATACTGTGCTGYTCCTCCCTGCTGGAATTAAAACACTTTATAGAAGAAAGGACAGACACCTATAAACACCTAAACACCTCTTCTGGGTTTCCAGTTCATTTGTTGTTCTGTTGGTTTGGTTCTTTTTTATTAAAATGGCCCTTTTCACCCTTCTCTCCAGAAGGAAAAGACAGGAAGAACACAGTTTGTTAAAAGAAGACTCAAGAGGCTGTGGACATGCACATTGGCTGCTATTCAGTTCCCTGTGCAGGGCTGCAGGGAAAGGCTGGGGCGTTAAAACGAAAGACTTTATTCCCGAACCTGCCAAGGGAACAAAAGAAATGTGTCTAACAGTGCATGGATGGGCAGTGTGGAGGTTGTTTTGCTTTGTGTTGTTTTTTAAACCCACAATAAGCCCTGCCCCCTCAACTGCTTTTGGAGCATGATCCTGGSTCTGTTTTGAAGCCCTGACCCACGGCTGCAAAGGAGGACATGTATTTTCAGAGCTGTCTGTTCTGGTTTGTCAAGCCTGAGCTTAGAAAGCTATGTGGAAAAGAAAGGGATTCCCAGGGAGAAATGCTTTCAATGTCTGTGCAAAGCCAGTTGTGGGCAATTCCATCCTGTCTTGGTTTTGGTGACATGCCAAGACCATTCTGTGAAATGGCTTTCTGATATTTTTTCTCCTGTTTGTTTTTTTTAGCAGGCTGTAAAATAGTTTCCTGCCCAGCCTGGGTTACAGCCAGGATGKGAGCTCTGGACTAGGATGGCTGCTCTGGACCAGAGGCATGCTTATGCTCAATCATTATTTGCCAGTGGCCACTAAACTTTTCCAAAACATGCTTTATTGAGTGTGCAGCTTTTGTTGTACCGTGGTGTAGATAGTGGTCTCTGGAGGAGGATGAGAGATTACAGGCCATCTGGTGCCTTTCTGGACCTCGTATTTCAAAAGGACGTGAAATAAGCTTATTTTTCTCATGGAGARATAAACACTCCCTCAAACATAAAAGCAACCTGTCACTTTCCTATCTCCTGGAGAAGGGCCATTGCTGCAACATGAGCTTCTTCCCCCCATTCTGGCTTTGAAGTGAGGATGATCTGAGAGCTAGAGCTGGTCTTTCTTCATCAGGCTCTCCAGAAGYAGAGGTCCTAATGCTGRTGATGCCTTGGAAATCAGGCTCACCTGAAACAGAGGCCAGACAAACGWAAGAGAATGAGAATAGACAACTTTAGTACAGGCCTAACAGGCCCCCTGGTACATTAGGGCAGACAAAAGCCTYCTYCTGAGGCTACACCCAAAATGGACACTGAGTCACRARATCKTCACCTTTTATAAGTTCTGTCCTGTAACATATTGGGCYTCAATYCTCCACTTATATCTTMWGGTCATTATGTCAATCACCCCAARCTTGCTGCCCCACAACYCRCTGTTGTTTACATATTTTGGGGCTYTGAGGCAACGAGGTRTCCTTGGATTCAGGCTCAGAGAGGGATTGTTTTGTCKAAAGATGGGMGAGCAGGAGCTTAGGGAACTAGAGAAATAYGAGAATACAGATGCATGAAAATAKAGAAAGTAAAAATCCTAAGGCATCACTGGAATGCTCCAAGCTGTATGCAAGTGGRTCCAGGAGCTGCTGAAGAGAAATCCCACCAATGGCAAAACACAGTAGTGTAAATCAGTAACCCTAGGTTAGCTGGGATGGTGGGAGGCAGCCTGGCAATGGGAACTGGCTTGGTGCTGGGGCTTTTGACTTTGGGGAAAACACGCCCAGGCTGTGTGGCTTTTGTGCTGTGTTTTTGGATGAGGTGTGAATTCCCCAACAGGCCAGGTGGCTGTGGCTCCCCTTGGCACTGTTGTGATGCACACATCAGTCACGGAACAGGGAGATGGTGGTGGAGTTCTCTCTTTGTGCCCCGTGTGGTTCTGTCCCATGTGTGTCTAATCCCTCATCACCCACAATGGGCTCTTCCATCCCAAAATGCTTTTGCAGAGCTCAGCTTTACACCTCCTTTACACCTCAGCTAAAGCATAACTTACCAGCCAAGGAAAACAGAAGCCCAGGAGCAGCCTCCTTATGTCCTGTCCCATAAGCCTTGTCCAGGAGTCCAAGCATGGGAGTCGTCTCCACATAGGTAAGTAGTGTGGTCTGGCACTGGTCTGGTTTTCAGAGCCTGTGGGTGGAGGATATTTGAACACTTTCAAAAAGTCTCGATTTTACAGCGTTGAAACTGAGAAAATAATAGGAATTAATTTTTTCTTTCCTGTGGTAATCAGATTCCAAAGGTTATTTGGTGCCTACATTTTTTTTTTTTTTAATATGACCTTCACTTCAGACTCTCTTGCCGTACAAGATGGGGTGCATTTCCCTTGTGTTTGGGAGTTTTTGAGCTCAGTCTCACTTTACTGTTTCTATGGTCAAGGGAGGCAGCAGCAAAATCTTTGCTATTTGGCCTTGGGGAACCAATGAGTCTTCACATGAAGAGGAGAAAGGTGAAAGGCGGGGGCTGATCTTTTTGAAAAGTTAAATACACTGATCTGAGATGTTCCATATATCCACATGGGCATATTTGTTAGGGCATTTGGGGAAGAATTATGCTTTGGTAGGTGTTATCTTAATGACATCACTGTGATGATGTTGTGACTGAGGCTGGTGAGTAAATATGTTGCTTATTGGCATTTTGAGTTTGTGAGATGCTGGGCTTTAACTATAAATAGACGTAATTTGTAATATTGGTAGAACTTTCCAAATTTCTTGCCTCTCTGGAAGGAAGGGTGTTTTAGTGACAGTGGGCAGAGTTGTCAGCAGCACCTTCTGGTTGTTCTGGACAAAGTCCCTTGGGCATGCTGACGTAGGACACATCAAGTGACAGCAAAGCAATTTCCCACCATCCAATCCTATCGATGGATGMAATTTCCCTGGAGGGTGGGAGTGTGTGAAACTCGATCGCCGCAGACATGGGCTGGTTCTGGTTGTGTGCATCACACGGCCAAGCAGCAGCAAGGCTGGAGACATTTCCCCTCACAGTGGAGGCACCATCCCTTCCGATGTAATAAATGAGGTTGCCCCGGTGTGACACTTTACAGACGAGCCAGGCCTTTGCTCTTCCTTATCTTCTGGTCCCTGAGGCCTGTGTGCTTATCATGATGGAGCACCTGTGGTGGACAGTGATTATACTGCCTCTGTCAGTGACCCTCATTTGCATCTTATACCCAAATCTGTCCTCTTTTTCCTCCACATCTATCACATTTTTCCCACACTCCTGTGCTTTTGAGGTCAAACACAGCTGTGCAATAAGGCTTCTCCCCGTAGGAAAGCCTTGCCGTACTGTTCTACTGGGAAGTGGCATAAGCTCCATCAGTATAACTGTACTTAAACTGATTTAAAGCATTCACCTCAGAGCTTTTATTAGCATAAGCCTCTTAATAAAGGGGAGGGAAAAGAAATCATATGAGCGACACCAATGATGTAACTGGACCTAGGGAGACATTTGCTTTAAAGTTAGGTTGGTTTCACAGAGTATGTGATTTCAGTTAAATCTTCCAAAGTATGTGAGGACGCTTCTATTTATGTTCCATTTACACTAATTTTAATTTATATTAAGTCCATCAGGATCARGTTTGAGCTAAGTTGAACATGGTGTTACTGTTCACACTGTTTTTGATGGATTAGAAGCRATAGAACTAATTCTTTCCGGTCCCTTGTGAGTCCCTTGCAGTTTCACTGACAGAAAGATGATCAGGKTTTTTTAACTACATTTATCAAGAGAGCCTGCAGGCACAGGCACACTTTCAACAATGTGACTGTGTCCACTTATTATCCAAATGGTCTTTAAACTGGAATAATCATGCTTCAAAATGGGCTGCTCTGGTTTAATTTTGCTTAATTTGTTTTGTTTCAAATGGGCAGCACTAGTTGATCATGGGTAGACGAGACCTAAGAGAACACAGCCTGCAGTGGGTAGGTACTGCTGTTACACAAGTCCTGCCAGGACTCTTTCTCCCTGCAGAAATCCCATGGCTGGTATCTGTGACAGCTCTCACTTTCTGGTTTCCAGGGCCTTGTGCTCCTTGTTGGTGTGCTGGACATATCACAGGGTCATTGCACACCCGGTGTCTCAAACACCCACGTGGCAGGGAAGATAGCTGGGAAGAAGGGGGTGAGAGGAGACCGCTGCACTTAAAATCTGCTCCCAAATCACACCATGGACATCAGTGGTGTGTGGCCTCTGGGGCCATGCAAGAAACTCAGTGTGTTATGTGACACTGGGGACTCTGGCCTTTGGAGCATGTCTGAGAAAAGCTGAAAGCCTGAAGACAGGTGTCTTACTCTCACCAGTGCTTAGAGCAATCAGTTTGGAAGCTTGCTGACAGTTGCTGGGTGGTACATACTGGTAACAAACCTCATGCTTTGGAAGGGCAGCTCAGGTCTGCTTTTGCCCAGCAGGAAATGGAATCTGTGTTGCAGTGAGATGCTACAGGTGTCAGCCCATCAAAAGAATGGGCTGGGCTACCACAGGAACAGGCCATCCTCAAGCACCACCAGCAGCTGTGCTGTGCCTGGGGAAGGAGATGTGATGGTGCAGGGGGCTGAGCTTACGCTGAGCTTTAGCTGTTGGCAAAAGCCACAGACACAATAATCTGCACGTAGCAGTGCGCCTCTTTGCTCTCTGAAACATCCATGTATAAGC